TGGCCAGAAGACCCTGAATTGAAGATACAACTCATTTTTATAAGCATAGGACAAAGGACAGGACAGAAGTCATGTAATTGGCCAGCGTTACAGAGGTGAGAGATTGTAATTGTTTACCTTAGAGAAAGTGGGGATAGCCCCTATGTGGGAAGAACCATTTCTTTCTATCTCTAAGGAATGTTTTTGTGAATTTTATGGATCCTAGCTGTATCCTGCGGTTATTAATAAGGACAGACTTACTGGTGACTGGCAAATTAGACAATGCCACCTTTTTTCTTCTTTTTTTTTTATGTTTTTTAAGCAATTGAGGTTAAGTGACTTACCCAGGGTCACACAGCTAGTAAGTGTCAAGTGTTTGGTCTGAGGCTGGATTTGAACTCAGGTCCTTCTGACTTCAAGGCCGGTGCTCTATCCACTGTGCCACCTAGCTGCTCCCAAGGCCATCTTTTTGAAAGATGGGACAAGGTCACACACAGACTTTGCAGGAAATGCTGAAACAATATTTTATGAGAATCTTGAGAATTTTTTTTTAACTAATAGCAGTTGTGGGAAAGCTTAAACTTGGTATCTAACTTTAGAAAGGAGAAGGCTGAACTTTAGTACACATAAGCTGCTTCTCCCAGAGGCAGAGAAGAGGAATATGGTTATAGAATAAAATCACTTCCAGAGTAAAATCAAATATAAAATACAAGATCAAGAATCAATTCTTTCTGCAAGGCATCAAGTTTGAAATGTTTGAAAGACAGTTGGAGATACAAGACTAAAGTTCGCTGGAGATTTTAGAGCAAGATAGGTGGACCTGAGAATCATCGGTATAGAGATGATAATTAAATCTATAGTTGCTGAGATCACCAAGTGAAATAATATAGAGGAGGAAGAGGGAACAGCCCAGAACAGAGCCCTGTAGGACACCCGCAGTGAATGGGCATGACCTGTATGAAGGTTCAACAAAGGAAGCTGAGAAGGAACAGTTGGAGGAGGTAGGTGGGAGGAGAAAGAAGAGAGTGATGTTCTGAACACCAGAGAGAAGGGAGCATCAAGGAGAAGAGAGTGATCAACAGTATCAGAAGCTGTAGAGGTCAAGAAGAATGTGGAATTAGAAAAGGCCATTGGATTTGGAAACTAAGAGATCATAAATAACTTCAGAGAGAGCGGTTGTAGTGGAATGAGAAAGTTGGAAGCCAGATTGTCGGGAATGAAGAAGAGAGTAAGAGGAGAGAAGTGGAGGCACGTAGTATAGATGACTTTTCGAGGACTTTGGCCACAAAAGACTGAAGAGGTACAGGGTAGTAGTTAGCTGGGATGGAATGATAGTGTGGGTTTTTTGAGGAGAGGGGAGACATGGACATGTATGATTGTAGGCAGTGGGGAAAGAACCAATAGACAGGGAAAGATTGACAGTGAGTGAGTGGGGGTGACAGAGGTAGTCTGTCAGAGGAAATGGAATGGAATGGGATCACTTAAGCAGGTAGAGAGGTAAGCCTTGGGAAGGAGTATGGCTTCTTCTTTGTGTGCTGTGGGGTGAAGGAGGAGAAAGTGGTAGAAGGTGCATTACTCCATATTATACCATGTACATATATGTTCCTATATATTATCCTATGCATACATACATACATGCATGCATACATACACACACACACATACAGTACACTATTGCTGTACAAGGTGAGGAAGAGGGGAGAAGAGGGAGCTCATGGTGAATGGACTCAGTTTTTTTCTGTAAAATATAAGACGTTCTCAGCTGAGAAGGTCAGGGATGAGGGAGCTACAGGAAGTTCGGGTAGAGATGAAAAGGTTTGGAAGTGCTACTGTGGAGAGTGGTATAGTGATTTGGTAAGGTGTAGAAGTATTGCCTAGCAGCAGTGGGGACCCAAAGTGGACCCAGTCAGAGTGATTCCATGATTTTGGCCATCTTTGTGAAACAGCAGGTGTATATGATAGTGGGAGTTATCCAAGGCTTAGACTTGGCAAGGCATAATTGGCAATATAAGTGAGCCAGGGACTCGAGAACATGACAGGTAGAGTTTAATTGGTTTACCAAAGGGTCAAGATTTGGAGAAAAGGAAAGAGGGGCTAGGGCAAGGGAGATAACCTGGAACAGAACTAAGGGGCCAGAGGATTGGAGATTATAGAATAGTATGGCTTGGTAAAGGTAAGTAGAGAAAGAGTTAAAAACCAGTAGATTTTGATCACGTAAAGGGATTTCAGAATTATTGAACATAGAGATGATGCATTTGTGGGTGTTAACAAGTTCATGGGAGTGATTAGGATGTTTGAGGTAAAGTCATCACGTTTGTTGTTTCTTATAGTAATATTTGATTTACATTCATCTACCACAATTTGTTTATCCCTTCCCCAGTTGGTAGATATCTTTGCTACCAAAAATGTGTTGCTATAAATATTTTTGTGTATGTATGGCCTTTTTTTTTGTTATTGGGCTTCTTTTGATAGTACATTAGTATCACCATTTTTTTACAACCCCTTCAACATTAATTATTCCTATCTTTTGCCATCTTTGCCAGTCTGCTAGGTGTGTGGTGAAACCTGTTTAGATTTGCATTTTTCTTATTATTAGTGATTTGGAACATTCTTTCATATGGTTATTAATAGTTTACATTTCTTTTGAGCACTGTGTGTTATCATCTTTTGAACATTTATCTGCCGGTATCCAATTTCAAGTTTGTAGATATTCTAAAGAGGCAATTAGATGATTCAGTGGTTAGAGTGTGGGAGCTGGGAGTCAGGAAGGCTTGAGCTCAAATCCAGTCTCAGACACTTCCTAGCTCTGTAACCGTGGGCAAGTCACTTAACCTCTGTCTGCCTCAGTTTCCTCATTTCTAAAATGGGGGTAATAAATGTATCTGCCTTTCAGAGTTGTTGCAAGGATAAAATGAGATACTATTTGTAAAGTGCCTTGCCAAACCTAAAGATCTATATAAATGCTAGCTATTCTTATTCTATTCTAAATAGCACCCTCAGCTTCCTTTTCTACCAACTTCGCTATCTGTGGTTGTATCCTAGAGTTCTGTCTTTGGGTCTCTTCTTATTTCTCTTGATACTCTTTTATTTGGTAATCTCATCAGCTGCCTTGGATTTAATTATCGCCTCTATTCAAGTGATGCTTTCTTTCCTGTTTTCTTTCCCAAGCAGCCATCCTTAGTTTCCACCTCCCTATTGGACGTTTTTCAAGTGGATGTCTATTAGACATCTCAAACTGAACATGTCCAAAACAGAACTTTCTCACCAGATCCTGTCTTCTTAATGTCTCTATTTCTATTAAGAGCATGATCATTTTTCCAGTTTCTGAGATTTCCAATTTCCACATTTTGCTCAACTTCTCATTCCTCCTTCCCTAGCATACTGATTTAGTTGCAAAGTCTTATTTCTGCCTCCACAATTTCTCTTGCAGGTTCTTTTTCTCTCTACTCCATCAGTCCCCTCATCTGGTGGAGGCCTTCAAAAACTCTTGCTTGGAATATTACAGTAAATAGCTTTCTAATTGGTCTTACTGTCTCATCTTTCTTCAATATATTCTCCACATGGTCATCAAAATAATTTTCTTAAAGGGCCAGTCTGACCGTGCCATCCCTTTATTCAGTAAAGTATAATGTCTCCCTATTACTTCTAGGATAAAGCATAAACTCTTTTTAGCATTTAAAGCTTTTCATAACTTGGCCTCTTCCTACTTTACAAGTCTCCTAACACATTCCTCCCCTTTACTTACCCTAAAGTTCTGCCATTTTGGTGTGCTTATTATTCCTTACAAAGGATGACTCCAGTTCCTATCTCCATACCTTAGATTTGTCACCAGTACCTGGAACTGTACTTTCCTCACCTCTTGGAATCTGTTTTCTTCAAGACCAAGCTCAAGCTTTCAATCATTTGTGCCCCTCTTTCCATTTGGGCAACTAGCCAAGTAACAGATATTTATTAAGAACCTTCAGTGTGCCAAACATTAGCACTACAGGTACTTCAATAACTAGAGACAGCTGTTGTTGAGTGGATAGAGTGTTGGACATGGAATCAGGAACATCTGAGTTCAAATTTGACCTTAGATACTTACTACCTATATGATTCTGGGCAAATCAGCTTCTATTTGCCTCACCTTCCTCATCTATAAAATGGGGATAATAATGGCATTTACCTCTTAGGCTTGTTGTGAGGATAAAATTACCTATTTATAAAGTGCTTTGAAAACCTTAAAGTGCTATGTAAGTGCTAGCTATTATTATATTTTACAAGAAGGTACTGGAAATTAAACAATCCTTGACCTCAGAGAGTTTATATTTTAACAAAAGAAACAACATATAGATTTTTAGGATTATACAAAACACATAGAAAGCAGGTACTAGGTAATTTTTGGGGGAAAGGAAAACACTAGTAGCTGGGTTAACCAGAAAAGGCCTCATGCAAAAAGCCTGAGTCTTTCTAAGTGATAATATGTCATATATTTAGACCTAGTTCCTTTATAAACTTCAAAATGGAGAAACATTGTTCTTAAAGTTAACATATCCATTAGAATAGAATTTTGAAGAGGACTTTGACTGATTCTCATCAAATTATTTAAGTATGAGTACATGCTGTCTGTCGGTACTATGCTAGATGGTACTTCACTCTGGCATTTTCTTGAAAATCTGAAGCAATGTCTCCTATTTTATTCCTTCATGTTCAGCATTAAAAAGTACTTATTAAATATCTGTACTAGCTATTCTGCCAGGGCTCTGAATACAAAGACAAAAGTGAAATAGTTCTTGCCCTCAAGGAACTTGGATTCTTAAGCAAACCATAGGAAATTAACTGCTAACATGCAGAACATACTACCTTTTTGTGATTCTCACTTACTTTTCTGATACTCACTTACTGATTCTCACTTTTTGGTCTGCTTTCTCATGCTTTTTTCTACCGTCATGTAAAACTTTATAAGGAAATGTATAGTTAATGTTTTTAGATGGAAGTATAATGCGATATTTAAAATTGTTATATCACTTTTATCTTTATAGGATCAGTAATGACTTGCTCCTCTGGGAACCAACAGCTCCTTCACCTGTGGAAACATTGGAAAATATTTCATATGGTATTGGGCTCTCAGTAGCCAGTCAGCTGATTAATACCTTCAACAAAGATAGTTTTAGTCAATTTAAATCTACAGTTCATTATGGTAATATACCTTAAAATAATTCTTAAATTGAACCTGCATAATATAGTATCACAACTTGGGAAAGTCATGAGTAACTTACATTTTTATTTATAAAATTTAAAGTCTTGCTGCTTTGCCTACTGATTTCTATTTTTTTCCTCTAAAATGTAAATTGGTACCTCTTCTTCCTAATTTATATAATATTAGAGAGTTATTTGAAGGTACTGAGAGGGTAAGTGACTACCAGTGTACACACTGCTTTGATGTATCAGAGGCAGGGTATGAAAAATGTTTTATTTATTTATTTTTTTAAAAAACTTTTCCAAAAAATGTGTCATTTATTTATTTAGTCATTTATCTATCTGTCTTTATATCTAGCTATCTATCTATTTTTCAATATTAACTTTTATAAAATCTTAAGTTTCAAATTTTTCTCTCCCTTCATCTCTCCCTCCCTCCTTTCCTTTCTCCCTCCCCAACATGCAATCTGATATCGGCTATACGTGTACAATCATATTAAACATATTTCCACATTAGTCATGTTGTGAAAGAAGAATTAGAACAAAAGGGAAAAATCACGAGAAAGGAAAAAAAAAACAAAAAAAAGAGAAAATAGTGTGCTTCGATCTGCATTCAGACTCCATAGTTTTTTCTCTCGATGTGGATAACATTTTCCGTAATGAGTCTTTTGGAATTGTTTTAGATCATTGTTGGTCATTGCACAATGTTGCTGTTACTGTATACGGTGTTCTCCTGGTTTTGATCACTTCACTTAGCATCGAACCTAGGTCTTTCTAACCCAAAGGCCAACTGTCTCATATTGCTTTTCCTGGTTATTTTTTAAAATAATTATTTATAAAGGAACTATACAAGTGTTTCTGTTTATTTTCTTTAGATAATCTGTATTTCTAAAGTGATAGTATACTAATAATGGATAAAATTTTTTGAAGTTCAGTATTGAAAAGCTTAGCAGCTTAGCATACTGCCAGCACGTAGTAGATAAACATATTGATAGTGCTTTGCAAGTCTTAAAGCACCGTATAAATGCTGGTTATTACTATTAATATTATTAGATTTTTTAATAAATGTCTGTTGAAAAAAGCACAAAAGTGTATTTGTTTGTTGAGTTTTTCAAGCACCTATTTTAATTTCATTGGGGTTGGTATTCTCCCCACTAATACAAATTACAACCCAACAAGGGTTGCTGTGGGGGTGGGCTAGGTGGTGCTGTGGATAGAACACCTACATTGGAGTCAGGAGGACCTGAGTTCAAATATGGCCTTGGACACATAATACTTACTAGCTGTGTGACTTGGGGCAAGTCACTTAACCCTAATTGCCTCACAAAAAAAAAAAGAGTTGCTGTGGCTAACATATTCATCATTCTGTGGCTGACTTAATGGCCCTCATACACATAAGCCCATGCATATAGGCTTGCTAGTCCTCAGATGCACAGTTCCATACATATAGGTTTTCATATGGGTAAGACCTGGGAGAGTTTGTCCTCTGCTGTCATACCATTTGTGAACCCAGAGAGACCTTTATATCTTAATGAGATATTAAAAAAGGACATTGTGGATAATATTCTTGTTTTAATAGTTATAAAACCAATTATTTAAATAAATTATCAGAACTTTTTGGTTAATTTCTTATAGATGATGAGAGTGGATCTGAGGAGGAGACTTTGCAGTATTTTTCCACAGTTGATCCAAACTATCGTTCTCGTAGGAAAAAAACCCTCGAATCTCAGAACAAGAACTCTCAGAGTTTTCTCTCTGTTCTTCTGAACATTAATCATGGATTAGTAGCAGTATTCACAGATGTAAAGGTAAGAATTCATAAGAGAAAAGGACTTACGAAATCAATTCTACTCTTAATCTGCCAAAGGTAATTCTGTTCCATAAATTGTTATTTGGATCCTACTCTGTGCAAGGTACTGTAAATAATGTATTTGGGAAGATCAGCATTATTTAGTCTTATTTTGATTCAAGATAGGCATTCTGTAATAGTTATGAATGAGTTCAAATGCAATTCAAATAAATATGCACTTAAAAAACCAGAATATAAATTAGCAGACTCAAAACAAATGCAGAACACTTGAAAATTATCAGAGAAATAGATTTAAATGTTAAAAACCCCCATACAAGGGACAAAACTAAGAGTTGATATTTTTGAAGACTAACAATTGGTAAACCATTATCTAACCTTGTCAATAGAGTTGTAAACCAAAGACCAGCTATATAAACGTGTTATGTTAATTACTTTTGGCTTCATGTATCTGGATAATAATAACAAGAAGCTGTGTTACCCTACCATGAAGGATGATGACCATGGTAGTATTTAGCAAATAATACAAGTAGAACTTAATTTTTAATGCCAGAGTACATTTAATTCAAGATATGATCACTTGAATGTGAGATTTCAAATTTTCCTAGTATTCTAAGTAGATATCCTTTTGTCATAAAATCCCTTTTTTTCAGCTAATTCCTAACCTTTGTGCTTTTCTGGTCTCCCCATTAGCAAGATAACAGAGAGATGTTGGAAAGTAAGCATGGTGAATTCTGGTTAGAGTTCAATAATGCTTCATTATTTTTCGTGACAAAATATGAAGGTTTTGAAGATAAACACTATATCTGTCTTCATTCCAACAGCTTCAGTTTACATCACCAAGGTAGGAAGAATATAAAACATTTATTGGTATTTGTTTTGAGAGTTTTAAAAAATTTCTTTTTCAGTTACAAGTTTTTTTTAGGGAATCCTTTTAGGACTTAGCATAAAATGGTCTCTGATACAGGCACCTCAAAATCAGCATATTACAGAAGCTGCCCTAGTGGTCCTCTAGACTAGCGCTTCTTTAAACTGTGGGTCAGGACCTTATATGGGGTCTCAAAAAATTTGTAACTGTAAAAGTTTCTGAACTCGCAAGAACCAAAAATTAATTAAAAATCAAATGCACTTCCCCTTGTTGCATTGAGCAACTTCACTGCAGCCTTGGTTCCAAACATAAAGCACACACACTTTACACTGTGCATGCCCTCAGGCCACAAAATGGCAACAAACAGCTGCCAAAACTGAAAAGAAATTGCAAATGGAAAAAGCTTAAGAAGCCCTGATTTAGATCAACCTCCCATTTTAACTGTGAGCAAACTAAGACCAAAATGACAAATTGACTTGCTCAGTGTCATACAAATAGTAAGTTGTAGAACAGTGATTTCTAAAACTGAACTTATTTTGTTATTTACCTTGGCGGCACTACCATTCTCCTAGTCATTCATTATCAAAGTCAGCTCAAAGTCATCAATTTTATAATCCAGTCTATTTTCACCAGATCCTGAGGAGTCTATTTCCACAACACTTTTCACTTTTTCTCTTCCTTTTGACCCAATTTCAGAATTTAGTCAAGAACTGTGTTACTTCTTGTCTGAACTGTTCTATCAGCCTTCTAATTGGTCTCCTTCCTTCAGCCCTCTTTTCAGTTCATCCTGTACCCAGCTGCTAAAAGACCTAATGCACCAGTCTGACCATGATAGTCCCTTGCTGAAAAAACCTTCAGTAACACCTTGCTTACTGTAATTCAAAATATAAATCCTTTAGCCTGGAACTTCAGATGGTTCCTGCCTCTCTTCACAACTTATTTTACTTTATTACTTTTCATATACTTTATATTCTAGCCAAACTACCACTATCTGTTTCTTCTGTAACCTCCTTAAGGGTTATATTTGTTCCACCTTATCATAGTACTTTGTATCTATCAGTCACTTAATAAATGTTTGCTAGAAGGTTGTAGTTCTTAAGGGATGTGTTCTCTTATTATTAATTAAATCCCCAGTTGCACAATTCTTTTTTTTTTTCTTTCAGTTTGAACTTTGTTATGTTTTGGTTGTCTATTTGTCTTACCACAGTTATCTCTAAGAGGTACATAGCCTACATACTTAATGTCACTCTGATGTATAATCTCCCTTCATTCATCATTATATTGTATTGAATAGAAGCAAAGGATCTTTTATTATGTATTACCCAAGTCCATGAACAAATCTGAAGTATTTCTTGTACTCCAAAATATTTTTTGAGGGTATTTAAGAACTTTTCTTCAATTTGTTCATTGTCTTTTTGATAGGTTTTGATTTTTCTTATGAAAATTAAGAAAGTATTATTAAATATTTTCACCTCTAATATGAACATAGGCATGGTAGATGGAGTGATTCTTCCTGTTGAAGTACGACTTCCCACTCCAACTCGCCCACATTGGTTGGAACCTATAATTTATTCATCAGAAGAAGATGGTCTTAGTAGAACTTCAGATGGTGTTGGAGGAGACTCTTTAAGTATGTTGTCTGTTGCTGTTAAAATCCAGTCTGATAAATCAGAGATGAATACGAAGGTTTGTATTTCATGGACATATTTAGTGTTTAACTGAGTCTGAGATTGTTAATCTTAAATTGATATTTATATAATGGAAACCTCATGCAGTTGTCAGTGTTGAAGGATGTACAAGTTCTGTGAAAGAGGAGGCAGTACCAAAGACATGGAAAGAATATTGGACTTTATTAATGCCTTAAAAAAGGCAAAGGAAAATATTGATTACCTCATATATCTATTTTCCATGTGTAACAAATCTTTATGAGAGTCATCTCTACACAAATCTAAGACATCTGAAATGTAAAGAACAAGCACATTTTCTCAAGTGAAAATCAATGGGTACCGCCTTTTTGCTATTTTATAATTAAATGAAAATTTAGAACATATAAGAACATGTCCTTGTTGTTTGTTCATTTGACTCAAGAGTACAAAATGCCATTTTATAGGCTTTATTGCAAGGTGTCTTCCATCCATGCATTATAACTATTTTAGATTCTTTAGTGATAACAACAGAAATAACCCTGTTCAGTGATCATTGATATCAGGTAAAGCAAAAAACAGGGAGTTCTAAACTTGCCAAAAATGTTCACCACTTTGAAAGAAGAAATCCAGCTTACAGTCCAACTTGATGAGGGATTCTGTGTGGATGGTGTAGACTTCCATCTGCTCCTGTCCACAGATGACATGGAACTGATTGTATAAAGCCTTGGAACATTGTTGAAACTCCTTAAAGAGAATTATAATTCTTCAAAAGAGTTTGGCCTATCTACAGAGGCAAAACAATGTGGATGGAGAAGTTCCCAGATTAAAACATACATAGGATGGAAAACCTATAGAGCTTGTCCAGATATAAATATCTGGCATAGACATTGCAGATGGATAAGTTAAGCCCAGAGTTGAAGATGGAGAGAAGAACAAGCTAATTATATATAGTGCTTACTGTGTTCCAGATATTGTGCTAAACACTTTACAATTATACTTATTTCATCCTCACAGTGACCCTTGCAGTAGGTGTTAGTCTTATCCCCATATTACAGATGAGAAAACTGAGTCAGGGAGAAGTTAAGTGGCTTGCTAGGGGCACACAGCTAGTATATGGCTGAGGTTGGATTTGAACTCGGGTTTTCCTGACTCTTGTCCTGTGCTTTATCCATTGTGAGATTTAGTTGCACAGAGGGCAATGGGAGAGGAACAGTGTAGGTGTGAGCAGGCTGCAACATATAAACTTTGAGGATATCCAAAGAAAAACAGGAATAAAATATGTCATCAAGAAATTACATGACATAGAGAAAATATAGGCTTGTTATGTATCAAAGACAAATGATAGGTGAATGGCCAATGGAAATTGGTAACCTCGAGATGTCGAGAGAAATCAAGGAAGACTTCTGGTAGGTGAGGTGCCTATGGGATACTTATGGGGATATATGGGGTACTTATGGGATGATATGGAAAAGAATCGTCATACAAGACAAACAGGTGTGGATGGGTTGCAATTTATATGGTTGGAAGGAATTTCTGAATCAGTGGGGTTGAAGAGGTTTGGAGGTGCTATGACCCTGAGAATGTCAAGGCAGTGTCACCTGGAGTGAATTCACACACTCAGACCTCTTAGTCAAGTGGCAGAAAGTTTATTGTAACACTTCAGCAAAAGTGGGCAAGTATCCTTAGGGAACCTGCAAACTAGTGAGGACAGTGTTGGAGCTTTTATGGAAAAGGGACAAGAGAAAGGAATGCCAGAAATGCTAATTAGGTAATCTAGGGGTCCAGGTGTCTTTGGAAGCTATGGATGGGGAAATTCAAGGAGTCTGCAGAGATAACTTTGTTAATACCAGACATTAAGGGAGTTGTCAGAGGTATGAATCCTGGGGATCTGGCACAAGGGAGAGTCCTTGGGCCAGGAACTCCTCTGTTCTGATAAGAGAATGTTCAACAGCAAGATAAAATTTTCTCATAGGGCAGGGGCCTACCTGAGGCTTCCAGAGATGTGATCTTACAGCCGGAGCCCAAGCACCTCATCAGAGTCACAGATTCATTTGAGTATAATGGGACACACACCCACACACACACACAGACACACCCACACACACACAGACACAGACACACACACTGTCTCTCTCTCAGAAAAAATATTTGAATTAGCTATATAATGCTGGTAAAGGTTATGATTTTAACTCCTTTTGAAATTTTTTCCTATATAGGAATTTCTCATAGCAGTGGGACTCAAAGGAGCTACTCTCCAGCACAAAGTACTTCCTTCTGGACTTAGCTGGCATGAACAGGTTAAATTACTATAAGTTATTCTTTGTCATTTAAACTCATTTGATTTCTGAACATTTTAAAACACAGGCTCTTTCTTTGTAATTTGTCCTTTTTATTGTAATAACTTTAGTATCATTCTTTTTTTGTGACCATGGGATATTTCCATATTATCACCATATTTAATAGATTTATAAAGTTTTATATTGTATGTTACCATCTAGCCAATTCTTCCATGTTAATAAAATATGATTTTTAATTTTTCAGTAGGAATTTGTGATATTAGCATTAATTTACTTATATAGTTATACCTTCCACATCATAGGGGGTTTAAGGCACCCCGGCGATCTGAAACATCCACGTAAAATTTTTTGGCTCTCCCTTTGTACCAGAGAAGAAGTCTAAATTATTATGGTATTAAAAGATAAAGTATGTAAATATTATACAATATTATACATCTATTTTGTGCAGTTCTGAGTTTCTGAACTTTTTCTGTGTCATCTGCTGGCCTTTGTGTGTTGTGTCTTTGGTTTCTGCAAAACTCCCCCAAAATTCTCATTTAATTTCTTAAGCCGACCCACACTATATCGAAACCACATTGGGGAAAATTGCGATGTTGAAAGGATAACTATATTTAGAAATTAGGACAGGGAACTCAGCAGTGCAGTGGCTAGAGCGCCAAGCCTGGAGTCAGGAAGACCTGAGTTCAAATCTGGCTGCAGACTTTTACTCGCTATGTAACCCTGGACACTTAACCTTATTTGCCTCAGTTTCCTCATCTGTAAAATGAGCTGGAGAAGGAAATGGCAAGTCACTCCAGTATCTTTGCCAGGAATACCCTAAATGGGGTCACAAAGAGTTGTACATGATTGAAACGACTGAACAACAACGAAAGAAATTTAGACAGTCAATATCAGACTATTTAGAAAAATTAAATTTTCATAGTATCAAAAGAATTATTTTTTGAGATGATGTATTTACGAAAAACTTCTCTCATATAAATAGAAATCAGTATCTCATGCTAGAGAAGTGACAGTGAGTGAAAAGTGAGCTTATTCTACTTGTTTTCTTGAATCAGAATTTAACAGTTCCTAAGTGTTATTCTTTATTGATTGTGATTAAGAGCAACTGACTTTCAGCATGATTTGTGGATGAATTTGGGGCAGAAGGCTAATCAGCAATTTGATTGTACAGGTAAATGCCTAGGGATGACTAGTGAAGAGAAAATCATCATGGTGTGGAAGGATAGGAGTTTCTAATTTCATTAAAAATTAAAATATACTTGAAATTGAAAGGATTATTTTTCATTTCTGATGTTTTACAGATTTGAAAAAATAACCATTCTGAAATTAACCTCAGCTTTAAGAAGTTTAAGAAAACCAGTTTTGGGTAAAATCTTATATATGATTATAATATGAGGTCACTTAAAATAGTTCTGAATCTAATATAGAACATGTTATGGCAAATAATATATATTTGAAGTTTATTTAACAGCAGATATTTTCCGAGGTGTGTGACATCATAGCATATAAAGAATATTCCTTTTAAATTCAAATATATATGACTTTCTAATGATGCGTAGATTTACAAATTCTGTACATGTTTTTTTCTCTTTAGTACTAGTATTCCTTGCATAGTTTGTTCTCTGATGTATATTATGATACCTTCTATTTATGGGGTAATATTAGAGCTGGAGCAATCTTGAATTATCTCTCCAGTCTCTTCATTTTACAGATGAGAATTCTCTGGGACTGGAAGTAAAGTGACTTGTTTAGGCTCATATAGCTTATATAGCAAACCTAGGACCTAGAATTTAGATTTCTGATTCTCAGTCAAGATAGTATATCAAAAGAGCCTTTTTTTTTTCTTCTAAATTAGCAGCATGTTTTGTGTCTTTGTGATTATAGATTTTATATTTCATGAATATTTCTGATGAACCTGTTTTGGGATATAATCCTCCAGCTTCCTTTACAACCTTTCATGTTCATCTCTGGAGTTGTGCACTTGATTATAGGTAAGTAAATATCATAAAATATAAACAATTTCATTATGTTATTTCTATAGTTATATTAAGACAAATGGTTTAATTTCTAAGTGAGTTGAATTCTTTGCCATCTCTTTTATACCTTGTTTCTTTTTGATCCTAGGCCTCTTTATTTGCCAACAAGATCTCTTCTTACTGTGGAAACATTTAGTATTTCCAGTAGTGTTTCTTTGGATAAATCATCATCTACTCTCAGGTACCTATGGAACCTCCCTGTATGTTTTTTAATGTTTATTTTAAAAAAATTACCTCAAACATTTTTATTAATTTTTATACTAATAAAATCTGTTTTTAGGATAGTAATGAGTAAATGAGTATTAGTTGCAGAGACAGCTCACTCCTTAAGAATATAAGTTGAAGAACAGGTTCCAACCTGCATTGGAAGAAGGAGTTTCCTTTCTGGGACTTTTCTTACCAATGAAATCACAGGCTTCCTTCAAATAATGAGTAGAGCCATTCTTTAGTTCTTAGCTCTTGCCATCTGTTGCCTTAAACATTTTTTAGGGAAAGATTTAATTACTAAGATGTTTTTGTTCTTTAAGGAATGTGGTGAAAATGTTTGAGAAAATTCCCAGCTTTTGGAACGTTAACTTAACCACTTACTATTTCAGCATCCAAAAGTGCCAAAAATTCTTAATACGTTATTTGCACTTACCAGAATGTTTATTTAACAAATATTTATTCAGAGCTTCTTGTGTTTTAGAACAATCTTAGGTATTGGTAGAAGCAGAAGGTTTAGATCAGGCATGATCTCTACCCTAATTGAATTTCTAATTTAGTAGAGGGATATCACAAACATAGACAATTATTACGTGATATTACATAATAAATGCATTAGAAATTGTTAGAGTCCTGTCTAAAATCCTAGGGTTTCAGGAAAGTCTTCATGAAGAAGGTGGCATTTAAATAGGATTCTAAAGAATGAGTAGTAATTCAATAAGCACAGTGGGGAAGAAGGATGATCTAAGTGTAAGAAATGGTGTTTGAGCCAGGATGATCCTGGGCATATTCAGGGTTCAGGGAGTAAATAAGTAGGGAGGTACTAGATTGTGGGATGTCTTGGATTCCAGACTAAGTATTTTAAACTTTGTAAGCAGTAGGGAACCACTGAAATCTTGTGGAGTAGTGGAATCACACTATTAGATCTTCTTCTCTTCTTTTTGTCTCAGAACCCCTTGACATTCCCCACCCTTTCCTTCTTTCTCCTAATCTACCGCAGTAAATCAAGTCAACAGGCATTTATTAAACACTTAACTTTATGCCAAGTATTGGGGATACAAACAAAAAGAAAGGCAGTACTTACCCTGAAGGAGCTTACATTGTAATGAGGAAAAAACAGCTTATCTAAAAAAGAACTGAAAAGTGAAGGGTCTAGAGAAAGGGGAGTTATTTGTACAGGGGTGTGGTGGTGAAATTCAGAGAATGAAGGATGGCTGGTATGGGCCCTTCCGCAAAGTGTAGGTTTCAGGAAGAGCTTTCTAGTGGGAGAAGGAGGAGGCTGAGGCACCGTGGTAAACCCAGATAATGAAGTGATATTGAAGTGTCCCTTCTCCTTAAGAAGAGCAACCCTTCTACATGTGCTCTTGATCTGTATTTTCCTTTTTCTCTAGGAGTTTGCATCCTCAAATCATACCCTCTGTTTCTGATCTTTAATCTATGCTTATCTCCTGGTTCCTATTCTAATGCCTTAAAGCATGTGCCTTGTTTTAGTGTCTTTAAATCTCTCCCCCAAAGTGGAGGGAGTGTTGGTGCATGGTTTTTTGTTCACAGATGATTGTGCACTCAGTGTAGCCTCTGAAGCTGTAGGTGCAACAAAGTATGGATTGTTTCTCTGTTGCTTGTGCTAAGTTTGATGTAACGATTAACACCAAGAAAACACAGGTGCTCCATCAGCCAGCACCACACTATCCATACGTGGAACCATTGATTATAGCAGATGGAGAAGTGTTGAATGCTGTGGATAAGTTCATTTATGTTGGCAGTATACTTGCCAGGGATGTACACATTGATAATGAGTTTGACGCACGCATTGCCACAGCTAGCTCAGTGTTTGGAAGGCTCCAACAGAAAGTGTGGGAGAGAAGAGGTATTAGACTGACCACCAAACTGAAGGTCTACAGAGCTGTTGTGCTTATCTTGTTGTATGCCTGTGAAACCTGAACAGTATACCAGTACCATGCTAGGAAACTGAATCACTTCCATTTAAATTGTCTTAGGAAGATCCTGAAGACCGTTAAGATACCAGGCACTGAGGTCTTTTCTCAAATAAAACTGTCAAGCATTCACACTCCACTTCAGAGAGAGCTGTCATCAGAGAAGGGGCCATGCGTTATAAACAAAGCGGAATTGAAATAACTAGAAAGAAATGCGAGCTGTGCAGAATTAGAACTCACTCTAAATGCATTCAAACTTGACTCTAACATAGTGATATCATTTTGGTCCTCTTTGAGAACGAAGGACAACAACTATCTACTGGTTCCTTCTCTAATGCCTTAAAACATACCTCTTTTTTTAGTGTTGTAAAATCTTCTGCCCTGTCCTTAAAAACGCCTTATCTAGATTCTACCATCTTCTCCAGGGGTGGGGAACCTGCGGCCTCGAGGCCACATGTGGCCTTCTAGGTCCTCAAGTGCTGCCCTTTGACTGAAGCCAAACTTCACAGAATAAATTCCCTTAAATAAAAGGATTTGATCTGTAAAACTTGGGCCCAGTCAAAAGACCACAGCACCCAAGGACTTAGAAGGCTACAAGTGGCCTTGAGGCTGCAGGTTCCCTACCCCTGCCTCAGGCTATCCTATATCGTTTCTTTCTTTCTCAGTCAAATTCCTAGAAAAAGCTATCTAATATTCACTGCCTCATTCCCTCTCCTCACTCATTTCTCAACTCTATGCGTTCTAGCTTCTGAATTTCAACTCTTCTAAAGATAGTAATGGTTTGTTAAATGCCAAATTTGCTGGTGTTTTTTTTCCCCAGTTCTCATCTTTCTCAACCTGTTTGCTGCATTTGACACTATTGGTCATTCCTTCCACCTGGACAGCAGTTCTCCCCTCTCTGGGCTTTCATGACACTACTTTCTCTAGATTCTCCTTCTACCTGTCTAACCACTCTTTCTTACTTTCCTTTGCTGGTTATCTGCATCACAACCCTTAACTGTGGATATTGCCCAAGGCTCTGTCCTAGTCCTGTATTTTTTCTCCACCATCTCTCTCAGTGATCTCAAATCCAAGTAGATGGCATTGATAGCAAGTAGAAGTGAGTAGAAGTAGGAATAGACAAGGTGATAAATATGAAAGATGCTACAGAGGTAGAATCAGCTGGACTTAGTTGGACGTGAGAGGAAAGGGAGAGGGAAGAGTCAGACAAACCCAGTTTCACATATGAGAAAGGGTGGTACTGATGACTGAAATAACTGTCGAAAGAAGGATTAATTTTGAGGTGAAAGGGAATTTAGATTTAACTCTTGAGATTTAGATGATGTATAAAACTTCCTAACATTTGTAGTAATGAGGTTTAAAGAAATATTAATTATTGTTTATGAATATGAAGTTTCATATGCTTATAGTATTGGCTACATCAGAGAGGAATTGATTCAAATTTGAGTTTATTATATAGACAGGTGGCTCAGTGCATAGAAAGAGTGCTGGACTTGAAGTTAGGAAGTCCTGAATTAAAATCCTGTCTTGGACAAATACTTACTTTGTAATCCTGGGCAAGTCACTTAACTTCTCTCATCCTGTTTCCTCATCTGTAAAATGGGGATAATAACTTCCCAGGGTTCTTATGAGAATCAGTGAGATTTCACATGTAAAATACTTTGCAAACCATAAAGCACTATAGAAACGGTAGCAATAATAATAATAATAATTATTATATCCCTTTGTTGGCCATCATAAATTTGTTTTTGGAAATTTATTCTTCCAGAATTATCTTGGATGAGGCTGCTTTACATTTGTCTGATAAATGTAATACTGTGGCTGTAAACTTGAATAGAGGTAAGACATCATTAATTTAAAAATCTATAGTTGAGTACTATTAGATGTAGATGTTCAGTTGTTTTATTACAATTGTTATGAACAACAGATACTTAAAGAAACACTTTGGAAATTTGGTCTCATTGAGAAGGCAGTCAGATTGAAAGTGGTTTGTGTCATGCTATTTATACTCAAAACATGTAAACAAGAATAAAGTATTTACCATTAAAAATAAGATATGTTGTGAATACCTCATGGCTAGAAACTGTAGTTTCTTTACATTACCTAAATCCTTATAGTTTATCTTTAAATGAGATTGACATAAATGTTGATAGTTTTAAAAAGAAGCATTTTTATTTTTACCAAAGTGCCATTCTATATTATGGTTGTTAACTTTTTAAAAAAAATTTTAGATTATGTTCGTGTGATGGACATGGGCCTTTTGGAATTAACTATCACAGCAATGAAGTCTGATTCTGATGGGGACCAAGTAAGTTACAAAAATAGATAAAATAAATCAAAATTTTTATTTAAACCAATATTTGCTTTGAGAATTTGTTTTGTGACCTGCCTCATTTGGGCAAGAATAAATGAATGTTTCAAGGTAATTTCTAAATTAGAAATGAATATAATTTTTCAGTATTGTGGTATGGCAATTTATTACATGGAGTACTATATAATATAAATATATGCCAGAATGTGTTTTCTCTTGCATCTTACTATTGATAAAACATATGCCATTCTTTTCTGTCACTCTTGTTCAGACCCAGCCTCGCTTTGAGCTGCACTGTTCTAGCGACGTTATTCACATCAGAACGTGCTCTGATTCTTGTGCTGCCCTCATGAATCTTATACAGTATATTGCAAGTTATGGTGATTTACATGCACCCACTAAAACAGAAGTTAAACCTGCAGCTGTCCAAAGGAAAACAAAGGTACAGAATGGAAAAGTGTCACCCAATTCCTTTTGTTCAGTGATGTGAAGTAGATCATCTGTTGTTGAGTCATAGGTGTGAAGGGGACTCAGAGAAGGTCCTTGTACTTGTTTTGTATACATAACCCTAATTATTGGACATGCCTCATTTGAGAATATTTTTCCTCATTATTAACTTTAGTATTCTCAATTTTAAGTGCATTTCTTTATATGTTCTTAGTGGTGACTGCAAAGAGCTCCTCACCTCATCGTGAGGTATGTGAAAATGCTTTTGAAATGTATAAAGTGTTAGACAAATGCAAAGTCCTATTTTGTTTCTGTTACTTGACTTCATAATCATAGTTTCCTTAATTTAGACTTTCTCGTTTCCTAATAATCTTTCTGACTTTTTAAAAACCAGTTTCTCATAGGTTTCATATTATGTCGAACCAGTTCCTTAATAGTAAAGATCTTACCAGCTTTGAATTTTATAGTTAGTTCCTACATTCTGTACTCTCTTCCATTTATAATTCTTTGTTCTTTTAACTATAAGATTACATTATTCATTTATGTTTACATTGCTGCCCACTGTAACTCCTTTATCATTTTCCATTTTGTTTTGTGACCACTTCTCCAGTTTTACATTAAATTTTTATTTTTTGAAATGCCTTCTTGGAATTGTTGTTCTAGTTTAATAAATATGTTTTTAACAGCCAGGTCAGTGGGGAAAAGTACTGAGTGTTGGGCCCAGGATTGAGTCCTATAAATTTCCATTTATCATATTTGCCATCTTTTTATATAGTCCCTTTTCCATAGTTTCATAGTTGCCAGTTTATCACCATATAAGCTCTAAAAGATAACCTGTGATTCTGACATGATTTTGTTCATTTCTTCTAGGACTCTGATGCAAATTAGTATAGAATTGAATGTCACATTATAATCTAAATGCATATCATTATAGTTGGAATATTTGAATCTTTTAAGTAGTTTTTCTCATTTCTCCTCAATTTCTTTTTATTTCTTCTTCCTCTCCATATATTTGTTATCCTTCCACAATATTAGTTCACTATTTCAGTTTTAAAATGATGGGAAAATAAAATTACTTACATCTCTTAGCAAATTTTATTTGCTAATGGTGTTAGAGATAGTATTCTTAGTTGAATACTCCTCTGCTCCTCATATGCAATCTGTTGCCAAGTCCTTCAATTTTACCTTAAAAATATCTCATATATGTCCCCTTCTCTCCTTTAACATTGCCACTACCCTGGTGCAGGCCCTTTTTACCTCACACCTGGACTATTGTAGTAATCTGGTGTTTGGCCTCCTTGCTTTACATCTCTGCCCACTCTAGTCCACCCTCTGTTCAGCTGACAAAGCTATGTTCTTAAAGTGCGGGTCTGACTACGTACTCCCCTTATCCTATTCGGTAAATTCTAGTGGCTCCATATCACCTTCAGGATCATATATAAAATCCTCTGTTTGGCATATGAAGTCCTTCATGATTCCCCACCCCCCCCCCCCCCCCAGTCCTCTTACACCTTTTTGTACTCTGGGGTCCCATGAAGATGGCTCTTTGCTACTTCCTCCCACAAAATATTCCAAGCTCATAATAGACACTGTATAAATACTTGTTCCCTCACTAGTTGACTAAATCTGGGATCCCATTTATAAATGATTTTTCTGTTCATAATCCAGTCATACCTCCTTATCCTGTATCATTCTTGTCCCTGTTCTCTCATAAATTCTTCCTAGAGAATCTACTGGTAGACTGGGAGACTTTCTGCTTGTGAGTGCTGGTGCAGTAATTACTTTCTCTCTCTTGTTATTTGCTTTTACTACATTATTGGTTCACCATTCTGATCATTTCTTTGATAGCTTTTTATCCTACTTCTTGTGCACAAATCATCTTTGGTAATTGGCCTTCTAGAGCAGTATGAATTTCACTTTTTGTCAGTGATACTTAAAGTGTTGACACTCCAGAGATTATGTTGTTCATTTATCATCACTGTGAAAATGTTAGTGTTAACAATTGAGGTTTTGTATGAGAGAGCTTGGGATCAGTGAAAATACTTTATAATTCCTGAAATGTAACCCAAGTCCTCTGATTCTTAATCTTTCTACTGTATCATACTGTCTATTTATAAACTTTCCTTGTTGCCTATATCTAGTGCATTTTTATATAAACATTTTAGACCATTGATCTATCTCTTTTTCTGGTTTTTATCTCCTGCTAATTTCTGGAAATCGCTACTCCTGTTGGTCTTCTTACACTTTAGCTATTCTGTGTGCTATCTGTATATGCTTATCCATAGTTTTTTGTCCTTCCTCTTTATATTTCAGTGTAATGGTTGTTTGATTGTTTTGTAACTCTCTGAATAAATATATTTTTACCATTCAGTCTCTGACTAAGAGGCTATGTTTTAAGCTGTGATCCAGAATTCAAATCCTCTCACCAGTTACCGTATTCTTAACTAGCTGTTCACTTTCCAAATCTGCCTTTTTAATTCTTAAATCCTTTCTTTTGCACTGATTAAAATACTAGTGTTTCTGTAATGTTCTGTTTCCTGCCTAAGACTTCATAATCATTAGCAGTGTTCTCGGTTTTTTCTGGCACTATCAGTTGTGTCTTCATGAATCACTAGAAATGAGTTTTAGTCCTCAGGTTTTATCATTTCTGGGAGGTTCTCCATCACATTCTGGAAGACACAGGAAGGTAACAAACCACTTTTTAATGTCAGACTGACAAATAGCAACCTCATACCCTTCAACAAGGAGTCACCAACCACCACTATTAGTATCTTCTTTCTCTTACCCTTAACTCTGGATATTTTTATAAAACTGCCATGCAAGAAGTCTAAAAAGTGCTTTTACATCTGTGTCCTTAATTGAAGGAGTGTTTTTTTGTGAGCTTTGTTGTTGTTATAATGTAGGTGGATACCACTAGTTGGCCATCTTCACGAGGCCCAGTACTTCCTGAAGCTGATCAACAAATCTTGAGAGATTTGATGAGTGATGCCATGGAGGAAATTGATACACAGCAAGTTTCTTCTCCCGTAAAGCCACAATCTAATGGTAAGGTATAGACATTCTTTTTGTCAGCATGTTGTAATTCATGGTATTGTAATTCTGTCCTATGTTACTGTATTTTACAGTTTTCAAAATCCAACTTATTTTAGAGTATAAATGTCAGTTTTTAAAATTTTTTTTAGCATTTCATTATCTGCATTTGATCAAGTCATATTTATTGAGTCCCTAGTAGGTGCTTAAGTTTCTGAGGGATAGAGAAGAAATATGGGATATGATCATTATCCTCAGAAAACTCAAAGTAATGGGCATGAAATTAGATTCAGAAGCTAGACTCATGTACTGCTGTGAGCAGGGCAAGACAGTTTGCAGTTACTAAATTTGTAGTGTAGAAGTAAGTTCAAAAAGTATTGTCATAGAAGTTTTCATGGAGATGGTGAAACTTGATCTGTGCCTTGAGTGATGGTTAGTATTTAAATAGGCAAAATGGCAATACCAGGTTAGGAAAACAGCATGAGGAAGACTCAGAATGAGAGTAAAATAATGTCATTTAATTCAGTTCAGTACATTTAAATGTATGCCGTGTTAAAAGTACTATGGTACAAGCAAAAAATATGAACATTTAAAGTAATTTACAGTCATCAAAGGTAATTTGGAGTTTTTAGGTGTGGACATGTACATACAATCACACAAGTCCTCTTCCATTAAAAACAACTACCACATTATTTTTAATGAATAATAAGACTGCTTCTGATATTAAAAAAAACTTACAAAGTGTTTTTGGCAAGTATCATTATCTTAAATATCACATGTGCATACGACAATTAAAATTTATTATACATTTATTGCAATTTTTATTGTAAATTTAATAACAATTGAGAAAAAAATCAAATAAAAATAAACAGTAAAGGACAAAGCCTTATTCCAGATCCTTAAGCTATAACAACATAACCATCAAACAAATCTTTTGAGGATATTCACACTGTTTGAAATGTTCAGGTCAGTAAATCTCTTAAAACTTAAATATTTCTTAGTTGTTTTTTTTTTTTTTTGGAGATGTTCCTTGAATTTATCCTTCTTTGAGTCTAATTCAGTGGATTTGAGGCCTAGAAAAGCCACTTTTTTCCTTTTCTTTTTTTTCAAGGCAGTTGGGGTTAAGTGACTTGCCCAGGGTCACACAGCTAGTAAGGTGATTGATCTGAGGCTGGATTTGAACTCAGGTCCTCCTGACTTCAGGGCCAGTGCTCAATCCTCTGTGCCACCTAGCTGCTACCTCGTAAAGCCATTTTATAAGATTCATCAGCCTTTTGAAATTTGAATCTTGAATTTCAGTATATTTATGCTATTCTTTCTGTTTTAAGACTATTGCATGTGTACTGTTAACTAAAAATGTTTTTATGTCATACCATAGAATTTTTTAATAGAGTCCTTGAAAAGAGGGCATCTTTCTTATTTTATAGAAGATACAACTAAGCTTTAGGAAGATTACATGAAAGATGCATCTATAGCTAGTTAGTAACAGAGTTGGGACTAGAAACCAAGTCTTTTGATTCCCTGGTGGCTATGCTTTCTATCATATCATGCTGAATTTCCCATAGAGAAGATAAACTGGACTGTGAATAGTATACTTATATCTAACTTTTGAAAACATACTTCTTAATTTAAAAGGACTTATTTATTGAAAATTTCTTGTTTAGGAGACTAATATGTGTTTCCTAACTAAACACAATTATCTTTCCATCTAGGTATTTTGGATGAGAAATCACAAGCTCAGGAACCATCATCTTGCTCAGATCTTTTCCTATTCCCAGATGAAAGTGGGAATATCTCTCAGGAGCCTAGTCCCAGCTATGCTTCATGCACTCAACACTTGATTAATGATGCAATGATAGATGTACCTTCAGAAAATGATGACTTTTGCATTCTTTTTGCACCTAAAGTAGCCATTCATGTAAGAAATTATTAATAATTATGATTTTAGGGCCCTGTGATTTCATTGGAGTTGGTACTCCTTCCACTAATGCAGATCAGTGTGTCTGATTAAAGTAGGCTGTTTCCGAGAGTTTTAGCTGAAGATTTCATGACCTTGTCACTAATTTGGTTGATGAATTCTGACCTTAGGCTAGTCCTTGGATGACAGAAACTTCATTTGTCACCTGGTCTATATTCAAAGTGTTACCTACTTGGTGAGACCTCCAGAAATTGTTCTAGGTTTACTCCTATGCTATGATGAGGTACTGAAGGAGAACATTTATGGAAGATTAAAATGTTTAAGAGTTAAAATAAGAGGTACAAAATAGAGTGAAGGACTTTAGAAGTGTCTTTTATTTAAGACTTTGTTAATTCCTTAAAAAGCCCATTCCCAGTTTCTGAATTTGAATTTATGTGATGTAAATGTTTGTGACATTTGTTTGCAGTTTTATAGCTATCCCTTCCTGAAAACCAAACAATAATATTTGTATAATATTCTATATTTAGCTATGCACAAACCCCTTGAGTAATTCAGGCAAGCTGTTGGCAATAGTAGAATTCAGAGACTGTGCAATGTAGCTTTTCCAATACTTTGGCGAGGGGGAAATAACAATGTTTAGCACCATGGTTAATGACATGAAAAAAAAATTTGAAACATGTCCAACAATAACTCTAGGTACTTGTTTTTCTTACTAAGTTCTGTGTTCCTTATATGTTAGAATGTTTTAGATACTTGGTGTCCTATTTCTCTTTTCTAATCTTAATTTTGAGTTTTAATCCTTTGATTTTATAATCCACGTCATAGGATCCAAAATCTGAATTAAGCACAACTTCACAGAAGTTTATAGGATTATAGAATTTAAATTAGGAACAGATTTTAGGGATAGTCACGTCTATTCCTTTACTTTTATAGAAAAGGAAACTAAGGCCTCCATACCTCATTTAAGATGACAAAGCAAGTTAGTAGTAGATCCAGGACTTGAACCTAGTTACTCTGATATCCAGTGTAGTGTTTGTTCTACAATCCTACATTACCTCCCTTAGTCTTCAGTTTATAATGCAGTCAATTTTTTTAGTCTTTAATATATCTATATATATTCATAACCTTTGTTTTTACATTGTATTCATATCTGACAGCTAGTGGCATAGTGGATAGGGTACTGGGCCTGGAATCATGAAGACCTAATTTAAACCCTGCCATAGACACTTACTAGCTGTGTGGGCCTGGGCAAGTCAAGTAACCTCTGTTTGCCTCAGTTTCTTCATCTGTAAAATGAGGATAATAATAGAATCTACATCTAAGGGTTGTTGTGAGAATCAAATGGAATAATATTTGTAGAAAGTGCTTAGCACAGTGCCTAGTACATGGTAGATGTTATATAAAAGTTCTTATTCCCTTCTGAACCTATTCTTCCTCCTTCTATAGTCTTGCAACGAAGATTTTAAAAGAAAGACAAAAAGAATCAGTTCGGCAAAACCAGCTGACATATTGCCTGTCATAATTTTTTAATAATAGTTTGTACATACCCAATGATACACATGTTATAAAAATCAAATGAATCAGGATAATAAAAATACTTTTTTGTGTGTAGTGATTTAAATATAATGTTCAAAAAATATTTATATAGAGAGCCATTTCCAAGCAAAATACAGAAAAGTACCTTTCCTTTTTTACTTTTAGACTTAAGAAAGTAGAAGCACTTCTAGTGATTATGTGAGATAGTATTCTCAGAGTGAGTGTTTATGGGCATACTTAGTAAATGATATTTAGTAATTGCTTTTTTTTTCCTTAGGAGAAGGAAGAAGAACCAGTAGTGAAAACAATGGTTGATGATGGTATTGTAATAATAGAGAATCATTTTAGTCTGCCTGTAAAAAAAACAGATACTAGCAAAGCACCATTACATTTTCCTACTCCTCTAATACGATATGTTGTTAAGGAAGTCTCTCTTGTTTGGCATCTCTATGGAGGAAAGGATTTCGGAACAATGCTTCCTACGTCTCCAGCTAAAAGTTATGTGTAAGTCAGTTTCTCTGTTTTTCCCCCCCCAGGTAGCTGTGTCTATTAATTTTATAGATAGAATAAGAATATTGTGAGGTTTTCTGATTTCTTTTTTTTTCTAATTCCCCCAACCCCTGATTTTTCCTTATTTTGTGAGTAATGATTTGTAATGTAGTTGCTAAAGCTTTTAAAATTTTAGTCCTATAGTCCTCCATTTGTTCTTATGTGAAATTTATGTGTGTTCTTCTGAATTTAAGTAATTTACATTAAAATAACAGAACTTGGATGCTGATGTATTTCAGCTACAGGCGTGGAGGTTAGGCCCCTGTGAAGTGAGAGATTAGATGATGTCACGTGGTGAGAACACTTGCCTGGTATTCTACTTTAAAAAGGAGTGGTAATAGACTACACATTAGTTGACTTTGTTTGCAACATGGGGAGGATTCTCATCTTTGGAACTAGACTACTATATCCAGCAGAGGTAGACTGTTAGATCTACTATATCCAGTTAGAGGTAGACTGTATAATCAGCTTGTAATAGGGAAGAGTATGGGTGAGTATGGGTGCCTTTGATTACCAATGTGGTCCCAATAACATCATAGATTCCTGGGGTCCTACACCAGTGTTGATTATTTGTAGGGTTCATTTAGCTTGATCAGACTCAGAGGAGGGGTATGCCTCATGTCTGCTGAAGGTCCCTTGGGAAAGTGATCTCTGGTAATTCTGTTAGTCTTGTGGAGGCTGCAGAAGTGGCCATTGTGAAATCACTAAGGAAAACCCAGTGACAAATGAATTGTTCCCTTCTCTGGGGCAGTCCCCCAAATCAGGTACCTGACACAAAAGATCTTTAGACTCAGACCACTCCAGCCACCCAAATGGGGAAACAGCTTGCCCAGGGTCACCCATCTTGTATATAAGTCAGGACTGTCTTTTTAATCTGATTTTTTTTAAACTGAAAATTCATTGTCACCCTACCATAGCCTCATATTTGGTATAAGGTGAGTCTTTTCTGGAAACCATCTAAAGAAGGTCTGCAGTATAATAGAATGAATGTCCTGGCCTAAGAACAGGATAGTAATAAGTCCGTGCTATTTATAAGCCTCACTGAAAAAGTTATAGTAATGTACCTTTGTAGTTCTTAGAATTTATCACATTGTTGATTAATAGTAAAATGTGTATATAGTTAGTGTACATTAAGCGTAAAACTCAGGAGAGTGCTTTAAATTATATGATTTATATATAATTATATTAAATTATATGATATTCCATCTCTTCTTTGGAAGTGTGTGTGTGTGTGTGTGTGTGTGTGAATGTGTGTATTGTATTCTGTGATCTGACAGATTTGCCTCTTTTTTAAAAGACTTGCTTTGATAACATTAATTTACTTATTTGGAATATTGCTTTCAATAAGATATTTTTTTTTGTTTTACTTGTAGTAGTCCACACAGTTCCCCCTCTCATACACCCACGAGACATGGACGTAGTACGGCATGTGGAGGAAGAGGAAGGAATTTTGACTTTTTAATGGAAATACAATTGAGCAAGGTGAGACAACTTTATGAAAGACAGTTTTGAGTAGAGGCTTTGTCTCTTTAGTTGAACCTGATTCTCCCCTACAACTAAAGGACAAACCTTGTATGCTTGTGTTATAAGGCCTTACCCCGTGAGCAGGTGGAGTTGGCCTAATGTTAGGTACTTCAGTGGATCTGAGATCCCAGGATCCCCTACAGCAGAGGTGTCCAACACCAGGCACATGGTCCACTCTCCAGTAGGGGATGAACCAGTTTAAAATGTAACTGGGAAATGTCTAACAATAAATAAAAACACATTAGAACATAGATAATATTACTTTGTGGTTTTCTAAATCAATATATGATCTACATAATCTATTCGAGTTTGACACAACTACTCCACAGTGTGTCTGATCCCTGTCTACTGTCATAGCCCAGGCTTTCTTCTTCTCTTATCTGGATGTTGGAGCCTCTTGATTAGATTAGCTTCTTAGCTTTAAGCCTCTCACTTTCTACTCTGTGCTTAATCCAACTGCTAACATAATCTTATTAACTTAGAAGTCTAACCGAGTTATCCTTCTGCTCTAGAACTTGCAGTGATTCTTGGTTGCCTTTGAGAATACAAACTCCTCAGCTTCTGACTTCAGGCCAGTCTCACTTCAAGCCTATTTACCCAACTTATTTCACATTATTTTCTTTTACTCAGGGAAGCCAAACTGGCCTACTTTGTAGTAATGTTATGTTTCTCACCTCCATGCTTTTATATAAAATTGTTTCCTGTCTTTCACCTCCTTAGGTGTCGACTTAGTTTATGTGCATTCTCTTACTTGAAATCCTTCCTGATAGTTCCACCAGCCCCTAAGTTATCAGGGCTCTGTCTTTCCTCTAACAATTGTTTATACACTTTATATAATTATTTTTATATTTTTATATATATATATGTATATATAAAATTCTTATATATACAATTGTTTATACACTGGGTCACAGGACTGTAGGTACAAAGATGGAAAGGATATCAGAAGCCATTTAAACTAGTGCCTCATTTCACAAATGAGGAAACTGAAGCCAGGAAGGTTAAGTAATTTATCCAAGGTAACACAGGTATAATCAACCCAGGAAGATTTCAGACCCAGGTCTTCTGACTCCTCAGTCATTACTGCCTCCCTACTGTCCTTCCAGTAGAACATAAGCAGTTTGAGGGTGGGAACTGTCTTTTATTGTTTTATCTTGTAATCCCTAGTGATAGTAGGCACTTAATAAATGCTTATTGGATTGAATTAGATTAGATTAGATTCAGGGATCTTTTATGTCATGCATGTGGGTGTTCTCTCCATTGATGAAGCTAGAACTAACCCATACCTTATCATACTGTGCTTTTCTTGTTCATACCATTTCAGAAATTCTTAAGAGAATCAACTCAGTATTCACTAAGTCTTTTTTCTCTTTGTGGGTACTACTGCAGCGATTAGGCTATTTGTTATTCTTAACTTGTTTCACAAAGGTCGTTGTTAAAAATAGGCTTATAGTCTCCTTATGTCTACTCTGGGTCAATCCATGATCTTTTAGATCACTAGAAGCTTCTTTAGCTTCATAGTACTGAGAAAATTTTAGGATCATTTGAGTCCAACAGATTAAGTGTTGGACTTATTAATGTACACAGGGCACTGTAGAGACTAGAAAAATGAACAAGACATATCCCTTGCCCTCAATGAGCATATAGGCAACTAAAGAAGATAAGACAGATACAAATAACTATAATATAGCTTGCAATATTATAAATGCAAGGAAAAATTATAAAAAAGAAGGCCTAGTACAGAACTTTGAAGAGATAGTCATGTTAAGGAGGTGGGTATAAGAGGAGGAAGATGAGCCGGTGAAGCATATACAGGAGAATGGTTGGAGAGAGGAAGAAAAGGATAAAAATTTGGTGTCACAGAATCTAAGATTATTAAGGAATGAGTGATTAACAGTGTAAGATGGTATAGAAAGGTCAGCAGGGTTTAAAGACTTTGAAAAAACCTTTGGATTAGGCAATAACGAACTTTAAGGTGTAGTTTTAGTAGAATGGTAATAACAGAATTCACATTATACTGGGGTGAGGATCACATTGTTGAATAAGGATGTTAAGGCAGTAAATGTAGACTATTTCAAGAAATTTGGCAGTAAAGGAAAGGAGAAACACGGAATAATAGCTTGAGATCTAATTAGTGAAGGGACCTGAATGTGTTAATAGGCAGTTAGGTCATGTAGTGGATAGAGTACCATGCATGGAGTCAGGAAGACCTGAGTTCAAATCCAGCCTCACACACTTACTAGTGCTGTGATCTAGGCAAAAGTAATTTAATCCTGTTTGCCTCAGTTCTCTCATCTGTAAAATGGGCTGGAGAAGGAAATGGCAAACTACTCTGTTATGTTTGCCAAGAAAACCCCAAATGGGGTCATGAAGAGTTGGACGCAACCGAATAACAACAACAAATGTGTTAATAGACAGCTGGGAAGGAGTCAGTGGAAGAAGAGAAATTGGAAATGCCGAGAGAGATTAGAGATGATATATAGAGCAACTTGCTCAAAGAGATGGGAGGGATGGTAGCAAGGGAAGAATTAGCATTTGGAAGGAGTATGGACACCTTATCTTTGGTAAAAGAGGAAAGAAGTGGTAAGGATAGGTGAAGATACAAAAAGTTTTTTGAGATGTGGAAGGAGGGAGATGAGAAAGCTCATGTTTAATGAACTCTTAGTGAAATAAGGTTCATCTTCTGAGAGCTAGTATTAAGATAAAAACTGGGGAAAAAGTATTTAGAACAGTTGTGGTGTAAGTGATAAGGATTTGAGAAGAAATAAAATTTTCAGTGATGTTAGCCTTTCTCCTTTAGTTGATATTTCTGTCCCATAGCTTTTTAAATAATGTGTTAGTTTGTTTCTTCCAGTGTCCCAGGTTCATAATCTTGTCATTATACCCAACTACTTACTCTTGTGTTACCTTACATTACATATGTAATCAGTTGTTAAATCTTGTTGTTTCTTTCTACCTGTACAACATCTTTCACATCTAACTCCTTTTTTCTCTTTATATAGTCATTTTCTTAGTTTAGGCACTCATCATCTCTAACCAGAACTGTGGCAGTGGCTTCTTAATATGTCTGCCTGCCTCAAGTCTCCTCCTCCCTCCAATCCAGCCTCCACATACCTACCAAAATGATTTTCCTTATGCACAAATCTGACCACGCCATGCTTTTACTTATTAAACTCCATTGGTTTCTGTTTTTCCTATAAGATAAAACTGTTTGTCTTTTAAAGTCCTACATAATTTGACCCATGTCTACCTTTGCAGCTTCATTATATTTTACTCCCCCTCCTGTATGTTGTTCTCCAGCCAAACTAACCTGTGCTTCACACGTTACTTCATTTCCCATCTTCATGCCTTTGCACTGGCTTTCCTAGTGGCAGGAATCCAGTATCTCCTAGCCTTTGCTTGATATGATCCCTCACTTCTTTTAAGATGTAGCTTAAACAACTAACTCTACACAAAGCCTTTTCTGATCCTTTTCAACTACTTTGTATTTTAACTATTTCATATTTTTTTTGTCTATATGTACATGTTGTCTCTTCCAGGAGAACGTAAGCTCCTTAAGAGCAAAGATTGTTTCCATTTTTGTCTTTGGATCCTCAAAATCTTTTACAGTGCCTACTTTTTAATAAATATTTATTACTTGTTTTACTTTACAATATAAGAAATTGAATTATTCTAAATTGTATGCTTTTTATATTTCTTGGATTTGTTCATTCTTTACTAGTATTAACTTGTTTTTGAGCAACTTTTGGAAATGGGAAAACATTTGATTTTTTGCTCTATACATGTTGAAATTGAGATGAAGTTAAATGATTCTAAAGGCCAAATAAGAAATGTTGTGGTGCTCATTCTTCCTTAACCAAATCAGATTACACAGATAAAAACAGTAAGATGTTGAATTTTAGGGACTGAACCTAGTTGAGAACTGAATGAACATGTAATAATTGCTCTGTGTTCCTATCAGATGTTATCCATTTTTTTTTTTAATATGAAGGTGAAGTTTCAGCATGAAGTATACCCACCAAGCAAACCAGAATGTGAGTCCAGTCTCTTAGAACATCCAGTTTCACGCCAGGTGTTTATTGTTCAGGACCTCGAGATTCGTGATCGCTTGGCTACATCACAAATGAACAAATTTTTATATCTTTACTGTAGTAAGGAGATGCCTAGAAAAGCCCATTCTAACATGGTAAGGTCTTACTTTTCCTATTTTTCAGTTGTTTGTTAGTTTGAGCAAATAGACAATAGGAAGATGCTTTTGTTAATCTAGCTGTGCAGTACTTCTTGAATCCTCTTCAAAGCATAGAGTTGACCCTGAGTTCTTGAAGATTATACAGGGGGACTGTAAACTTTGGTGATTTTTATCCATCTACAGTGGCCTTGAGTACTCACTCTTTGAGTCATCCTTTGCATGCCATCTGAGGCCCAGTGTAGCAAAGTACAGAGATTTGTCACCCTTGGCATGAGTATTTTGATATACAATGTATGATATGAAGAGCACTTTGAAATATTCTCAAACACTTTTTTGGTTTCTCATTTTTTTTTCCACATATTTTTTTGCCAACATTATGATAACAGTAGGGAAAACAAATGTTTCTGCTGACCTATACAAAACCTTCATTTTTTTTTGGAAATGTTTCAGATCCTAAGAGGTTTAATTTTGGTCAGTGGGGGCAGGAACATTTTTTTTTTTTAGAGAAAGTTAAAAGGTTTGTTTCCTTTTCCTATTTAGGAGAAAATGTGAATTGAATTTGTGGAGGTGTCCATCACTTTTTTCAAAATTAGGGCAAAGGTTATTTTGTGATACAGTTCTAATTGTTGGTTAAAAAAGCATAGAATTTTCTTGTTTGTCTTCACATTTTTCTCATTTGTCTTCTAGTTAACAGTTAAAGCATTACATGTGCGTCCAGAATCTGGAAGAGCACCACAAGAATGCTGTTTAAGGGTGTCATTAATGCCACTTCGACTCAATATTGACCAGGTTTGTATTTTTAAACCACAATGTATATTTTAATTGAAAAATATAAAAAAAAAATTCAAAATACAGTGTAATTTGATGGACTCATAGCCTTTATATTTCTTATCCCTCAAGTACACAACATTTTTGCATTAAACTTAAGCTTTTAACAGATGAAGAAACTTTTGATTTCTTAGAATAAAAAAATCATTCAACAAATATTTGTTAAGCAAATCTTATGTCTTGAACACCATAAGCCTGAGACAGAAGATTCAGTCCCTGCCATCATGTAATTTATAGCCTAGTAGGAATAGTGTAGAAAAACAGATAATATTATGTTAAGTTCATTAGAAAATTTGCAAAAACAATATTATATCAAGTCAGAGTGCAAAAATTATTGCATATTTGTGAATGTCTTATAAAACAAATGAAACTTTTGTCTGTTATTTATGCCTGTGTGACTGTGGGAAAACAGTATATATGTGAATAGTAATTATGCAGTATTGTTGATAATAAACTTAGTGGGAACACCAAACAAAATAGTCCTAGGCATATGTCTGTTAAAAGAAATGAATGCAGATATTTCAGGAATACACTTAGATTGCTATATCTTTTCTTATTAAAAAGATGTCTTATTGAGAAAAATAACTTCTAAAAGTATTTACTCAAATTTAGCAAGACTTTACAAGTCATAATTTTTTAGTAATGTTCCCTAGAGTGACCACACAAAGTAATAAATACTTTAGATATATGTTGTCATATTACAGTTCTCTTGATTCCTTTTTTTTTTGTTTGATATTTGCATTTTAAATTTGTATTTGGGTATTATAGAACTATGATGAAGTATTGGTAGGAAAATTTGTTAATGGAAGTCTTTGAGGCTAAAAATCTGATCAAGCTAGCTATCTTTATGAAATAATTTTGCCAAATTTATCAAACTCAAATTTCTTTAATTGGCTTATAGGGTTTTTTAATATATTGAGTTTCCTTCTACAACTATAGTGTACATGATTTTAAAATAAGAAAACATTAATCTTCTATAAAGCAGCCAGTGAAATTAATTTTATGAATATGTTGAGCAGTCAAGGTAAAGAATTCTCTAAGATGCCATGTTTAAAAAAAAAACAAAACAAAAAAACAAAGCCACAGTGGAAAAAAAAAAAGCCATAGTGAAGTTTGGAATGGGTTGGGGTAAGGGTTGTGATTTTGTCTGTGTGAGTTCTCCTTCCACAGATGGAGATTATAACCTCTCTAGATCTTAACAATCTTAGAGTTTAGAGTTAGCTGAAAGTATCACTTAACACACATCAAAGTAATAAGCTTTTCCAAACTTATGATAGTCATTGAACAGCAGAAATGCAGTCTATCACTCGGCCTACATATATACATGTTGTGTATATGTGTATATATTTATAAGTATGTTTGTTTTTATGTGTATATGCAGAAAATTCCAACCAAAACTTTCTCCTTAAAATAACATGTTTAGTCAATACTTTGAGTATGAATCTTGAAGTGAGGACTATGAACCAGTAACATTTACTCCTTGTATTTGGATATCACGTGATGTCCAAATACTTATTCTTTCTATTTTTCATTTTATTCTTCTGAAAAACATAAATTTAATGGAGGATTGTAATTTGGATTTGTGTAATTTTTTTCTGCAAGAGAACAATTATTCTAGTTCTCATCTTAATTTCATCTTAAGTACATCTTCCAAGTTAAGAAATGAAACACCATTTCATAATCTTAAATTTTAATAAATCCAAGGAACTGTGGTTTTAAGTTAACTTAAATAGATTCTAGTGCATAAAACTTCCATCAGGAGGGCAGGGACTATATGGCATTAATTCCATTTTATAGGGTAAATGGATTGCTGAAAGTTAGACTGCTAAGCAATTTGGGAATTAGAATACAAAACCACATTTCTCGAAATTTAGGCTATGAGCCTTTTCAGTGTCATCCTATATATAGGTGTGGGAGAGTAGTTATGAAAATGAATTTACAAAATAACATTTTTATAAGCTATTTTCTCTGTTAATATCTTAGTAGGAACTCAAAGTTTACAATAAATCACTAAAAGTTAGGTTGTAATGTAAAACACTATTTTTGGTGGACATTTAAAAATAGTATTAGTATTCACTTGACTAATACATTGTACCTTTCTATTTAAAAAATGGATAGTTTTAACAAAGGAAAATTTTTTTTTTATGTAAGGATAAATTTATTTATAGGCCTTACATAATATGTTCTTTAAAAGTCTACAAAATATTGACATAGTATTGAAATATCCCCATCTTCTGGCAAAAGAGTCATATTTTACATATTACTTTGTCAGAAAAAATGTATTTCAATATTTATACTTCAGGGAAATGTGGTATTTGATGTTTAATTGGCAGTGTTATTTAATTGATCATACATTTTGGAATTATGTAGTCTTTAGTCCTCTTCTACTTATCAGATCTTAGTCTATTCACCTTAAAATTTGAGGCATCGTTTAAACTGAAAGGCACTGAAAAATGAAAAAAACAGGTAAAGTTTTACTGTGACATTCAAGACTGAAGTTGAAGTTATTTGCATTCTCAATACCTATTGACATGTTTCTTGTACAGTGCCACAGGGTATGCTTCCATTCTGATGTAAACCATCCCTCCATACTGAAGTTTCTGACTAGATAGATTTCCTATGATATAGGTCCTTTTTTTGTGACAAAACTTCATTGTAGAATGGATCATGGAATATCATGAGTTAGAAACCAGTCTAATACAAATCTAACAGAAATCTACTTTATAATATCCCTTTACAAGTGGCTTTCTAGCCTCTTCTTGAAATTTTTCCTGATCCATCCTGTTATTGTTCTACCTCCACAAACTACCTTGTATTTATTTTTGTATTTTTGTATTATATATGATCTCCTTGAGATCGAGAGCTGTTCCACTTTTGTCTTTTTAAGCACAGAACCTAGCATAATGCCTGGCACAGAGTAGATGCTTAATAAATGCTCGTTGATTGATACTTATATATAATTTTTATGTGTGATTACATGCCTTCATATACAGAGACTGTTAATGAAGACCTTTCTTCAGTATTTGAATGTGTTGTACATTGAATAAAATGTCAAAAACCATAATGAAAGTTCTTTTTTTTTTTGTTTTGTTTTTGTTTTTTGTTTTTTAGAGAATCCCTAATATATTTGGATTTAGGAATCTCCTAAATGGAGTTAAAAGTTGGAAAAGGAACCATGATCTTTCCTTTTGGCCTATATGGGAGAGATTAAGTAATGAATTAAATATCTTTATTATTATTTTTTGGAGTTACTTAGTAGATGTAACTGTAGTTACCGTAATTGAATGCTCTTGTTATTTTGCCTGTGTGGGTGGGGATTCTTTCTATAGGGACACAATTCATAATCTTTCAACTTAGAAGATGGTTGTTGAGAATTTCTGTAGGAATTTAAGAGCCATGATTTTATGTTGTTTTTAAATTGTAGGATGCCTTGTTTTTCCTGAAGGACTTTTTCACTAGTCTTTCTACAGAAGTGGAACTTCTAATGACTCCAGATCCAGAAGGTACTTTATAGCATCAGATGACCTAAGTCTGAGTTCTACTTGTGTTACTTATTGGCCTTGTGAGCTTGGCCATATGTCATTCCTGTCTGGACTTACATTCCTCATCTATAAAATAAGGTTGTTGAAGAGAGACTCTCTAAAAGTCACTTCTAGCTTTGAATGTTACAGTCTTACAGTGTTTTAAATAAGTATAATAATATAGCTACTTTACAAATTAGGCTCACATGTGATATTTATGTGATGTGATTGATAGGCTATTAAGTACTCTACACATATAAGCTGATATTACCAGGCTTCTCTGAGAATAATGTATATCTATATATGGAAGAGCTACACATTTATTTTAAATTTATGCAGTGGTATTCTGTAATGACACACATATAAGATAAGCCTTTAAATGAGTTGAGCAAATTCTCTTTAATACTGATTGTGTTTGTGTGTTAAATGAACACATTAACTATATATTAATATATAATTATTTGAAAGAATTATACTAAATTAAAAAAAAATCTCACTTATTTTCAGTAAAAAAGCCGCCTGGAGCCGATGTCACCTGCAGTTTGCCAAAGCATTTGAGTGCCTCAAAGGAGCCAAACCTAGTTGTTTCTTTTCCTGGGCCAAAGCAGCAATGCCATAATGGCAGTTCAGTGGAATTGGTTAATGGGGAGGAGGAGAATTTAGCTGAAACAACACCATTTAGTGATCAACCTGTGTTTTTTAGGTAGGTTTTTTTTCTTTGTCAGTAACTTTTTTGGAGTTTGGGGTTTTAGAGTATATCCAGCCTTTGTTTAATATGAACTGATGTTGTATCTAAATAATATTTGAGTCCTTATCAGGAGATTTGGTACTACCACTTAAGTTCCTGAGGTGTTTTTACTTGTGTGGTTTAGTGGCTAGAGTGCTGGGCATGGATTCAGGCGGGTTCATCTTCCTTAGTTCAGATCTGGCCTTAGACACTTACTAGCTGTGTGACTCTGGGCAAGTCACTTATTCCTGTTTGTTTCCTCATCTATAAAATGAGCTAGAGAAAGAAATGGCAAACCACTCCAGTATGCCAAGAAAACCTCAAGTGGAGTTATGAAGAGTTGAACACAACTGAAAAATGACTGAACAACAAATTTGTTTTCCATCATCACTCACATTTACGCAGCTCCACACAGTGCATTGAACTGTATAATCATTGAGATTCTCATTCCATGGTTGAAATAATCAGTCTTTCCCCTCCCCTTTTTTATACCATCCAGGAGTGTTGAAATAAGTGTGGGAATGGTTGTCTAATTTAATCTTCCAGGTTTTTTGTGTGATTGATGATTTTTATTTTTAAAATTCATAGTATGATGATTTTAAAAAAATAACTTTCCTCCTTTGTTACAGGGCAAGCAGCTTTTTATAATACTCTTCTTATTTGTTAGCTTAAGAAAAGGTTTTTATGTTGAATACAAACATCTCATGTTTAACATTAGAGTTTGATTTTGAACATGTGAACAGTTTTGATATATTATTATTTTCTTAAAAGAATAGAGAGAAGATTTCTTTAATTTTAATAGGTGGCAAAATACTTAAATACTTATTTTATGGCTTTGTTTTCATTTTTTCACTAAAATTAAAATGGATTCAATTTAATCTATAGATGTTAATAATTTTGCATGTGATTAAAATTATGTTTTTTTCCTTTACTTTCAGAGAATTTAGATTCACATCAGAAGTTCCTATACGACTTGATTACCATGGGAAGCATGTATCAATGGATCAGGTTTGTTAATTTTACTGGAATATACTTGTCAAGGGTTTCAATTTATTCATCACTATTTCTTATTGTCATTGTTACAGTTCATTTTTCTGAGTGTGTTTATGTACACTTGCTCTTTTTGGAATTTAAAAAATTTAATCGTAAACATCTCAAGACATGAACAATAGGGAAAAGGATTATACAGTCAGTTCACTAATATTTATTAACACTTTTGTACTGTGCTAAGTACTGGTGATATAAATGTAAAAAAAGATGGTCCCTGCCTTCGGGAACCTTACAGTCTTGAGGGTTTTGAGGGAGACAACACAAAAAGAAGCTGGAAAGTGAGGGTTAGGAGGGAGCAGCTGGAAAAGGTACCCAGTGTGGAGGGCATGGTAGAAAAGTCAGGAAAGTCCCAAAGTAGTGAAGCCAAATGAGGAAGGAGGAGATATTCTGAGCTTAGTTCCCTCCTTAAATGGAGGTTTGGAGTTCACCCTCCAATCACAGGGATAGAGAGTGGTGATGAGGTGGAGTTTCAAGCTGATGGGATCTTGCAGGGGCATGAGGTTTTCTGTATAATGAGCTCTCTGGAACATGATTGGTAAAATCAGAGAAGTCTAAAGTAGTGCAGCCAGGTGAGAAATGTACAGAAAACTGAACTTCTGCCACATACAGTATTTAAAAAAATAATTGTGAATACATATTTACATATATACATATGTATATGTGTGAGTATATATTCGTAATATATACATATATAAAAGTTTATCCAGGTCTTAACAAATTACTCTATTTTTGATTTGTTCTTCACTTCCTCTCTCTTCCCTCTGTGCATCTTTTAAAAATGCTTTTAAACGTCCCCCTCCCTGTACCTGTCACTATCCATAAATCCACCTCCTTTTTTCTCTACCTCCATCTCCTCTGTACTTCCTTACAGTAAATATGAATAATCAAGTAAAACAAATCAAGATATTGGCCATCTGTGAGAATCCATATCTGTTTTATCCATTAGATCTCTATGAAAAAGAGATGCTTTATTATCACTACTTTAGTCAAAGTTCTGATATCTTTCAAAGTTGTTTCCCTTACATGATTGCGATCACTGTGTAAATTGTTCTGGTTCTGGGTCACTTCACTCTGTATTGGTTCATATTTATCTTTTCATACTTCTCTGAATCTTCATATTCTTCATTTCTTATGGTGCATTAAGATTCCATTACTTAGTATGGCAGAGAATCTCTCTTTTCTTAGTGTTGATTGCCATGTCAAAATTAGCACAAGGAGCAGAGAATTGGTCCATATTCTGTTGCATCTCAGCCTCAGAGGCTGCATTGAGTGCACAATCATCTGCCAACAAAGTAATGTACCAACTCTCTCTCTACTTTAGTCTTGGCATGTAGTCTTTTCAAGTTAAATAGTTTACCATGAGTGTGGTAGCTGACCTTGATGCCGTTTTTTGTCCTTGTTGAAGGCATAGGACTGCTGAACATGGCATACTTGCATCAGAGAAGGCACTGTGCTCTATGAGCAAAGTAGAATTGCAGTAGCACGAAGGAAACGTGAGATGCACAGATCTAGAGACATCTCCATCCCAAATGTTCAAATGAACTATTTGTACCTGACCTATGGTAGTACCTTTGGAGCTCATATTGGACTCATCAGGCACAGTCCAATACACTGTACCTTAACCTCAACATCATGATGTCATTGATCCTCTTCAAGTACAAAGGATGAGCAACATGACAATAACACTTTCATATATGATTAGTTCAGATAGCTGTATACTGTGCCTAGCTATTGCTAACTGATGGGCATTTGTTTTGTTTTTAGTGCTTTGCTACAGTAGAAAAATGCTGCTATAAATATTCTTGAACCTGTAAGTCCTTTTCCTCTGTACATGACCTTCCTGGGTTACAAGCGTAATAGTAGTATTGCTGGTTCAAAGAGTATATCAAGACTGAATGTGGTAGCATAGACCTGTAATCTCTGATACTAGGTGATGCTGAGGCTGGTAAATGGCTTGAGCTTGGGAATCCTGAGTTTCATTAGGGCCAAAGTCAATCAGTGTCTCACTAAATCCTTATTAGTGAGGCCCCAGAAGTGGGAGAGGGACTGAGCAGGAACATTCGATTGTGCAAGAAGTGGCCAATGGGCCCAGGTCAAAAATGGAGCAAGTCAAAGCTTCCATACTGATCCATGAATGAGCCACTCTGGTTCTAGACTGGGCAAGGTAGACCCAGTTGTCTGGTTCTCTCTCAAACCAAAAAAAAGACAAAAAACAAACAAACCCACAAAGAGTATGTACAGGTTAGTGACTTTTTAGTTATAGTTGTAGATTATTTTCCAGAATGATTGAATCAGTTCTCAGCTCCACCAGCCTGTCTCACAATCCCTCTAACAATCGACTGTTTTCCTCTTTCGTAATCTTTGACAATCTATTCGCTATGAGGTAAAACCTCAGAGTTGCTTTCATTTGCATTTCTCTTTTTATTTATTGCAGCATTTTCCCATGTGGTAGCTTGTATTTCTTCATTGGAGAATTGCCTGTTCATATCCTTTGATCACATATCTAGTGAAGAATGGCTCTTTTTTTTTAATATGTTTATGTCACTTCTTTATATATTTTGGATATTAGACCTTAATCAGTAAGAAACATTGTGAAGATTTTTTTTTCCAAATTACTTCCTGTTTCTTACTGAATTTTTTTTTGTTGGTGCAGAAGTTTTCAGTTTTGTGTAATCAGAATTGTTAATTCACACTTGCTTTTTCTTTTTTTGGGTGAGGCAATTAGAGTTAAGTGACTTGCCCAGAGTCACACAGCTAGTGAGTGTTATGTGTCTGAGGCCAGATTTGAACTCAAGTCCTCCTTACTCCAGGACCAGTACTCTATCCACTGCCCCACCTTGCTGCCCTTTACACTTGCTTTTTATGAAAGGTTAGGTGTTTTATTTTCAGGATAAGTTAAATATTGCTTCATTTTAAAATACTGTGCTTAAGAATTGATAATAGTTTTTGTTGTATATATTCACAAAATACATTTTTACCTTTTAAAATATTTAAGCATCATCAGTTTCATTCTGACTTACCTAGAGATAAATTTAATAGGAAAATAGTAATAATAAGGCATTTATACCTTATTTTCAAATAAAGTTGCTCTTTCTCATTTTAAAGGGTACATTAGCTGGAATTCTGATTGGTCTTGCTCAATTAAATTGTTCTGAACTAAAGTTGAAGAGGCTTTTCTATCGACATGGGTGAGTTGAGCTGTTATATGAAATTTATATACTGAAATTAGTTAAAGCAGGTTAAAACCCAATTTTCCTAAATAGCATAGTTCAAAAGTAGTTTTGAGATAGAAACTTCATTTTTAGTAGAGCTAAGTAGAAGTCAAGAGGCAGCATGATATCGAGGAAGGCCTAAGTTCATATCCTGCCTCCGACACTGTCACGCTAGCTGTTTTATCTTTGGGAAGTTTGTTAAGCTTGCTGAGCTTCGTGCAGCTCTCCACGTTCTGGTAAGTTATAGATGAATTGTGATTTAGATGGTGAAGGGTATTTCCATACCAGTAGTGAAACCACCAATCTTTGATGTCTTGATGAAGAAAAATTAATTTGTGCTGTGTGGAAGTAGAATTTCTTGAGTCAAGATTTAGCCCTCACAAAATGGTGTAATTATTATTATTATTTTTATATAGTGAGATAGCACTGCAAAATATTAACATTTTCTCATATTAAAGTAAGGAAAATTAAAAAAGTATATTTGTTAGTGAGTAGTCTAGAAAACAGATGTCTTTGTGGCTAGGAACTAATTGTAGACTTGTAATTCTTATTTGTCCTTTGGTTCTGAATGCCAGATGTTTAAATTCCACATATTTCTGTTCATTATCTATAAAATTAGAATAATAGAAAACATAGCTGTTTAAGTTAACCTTGGTATTATATAAGAATATGTAATTCAATGCTAAATGTTAATATATTTAGAGAAACTCAGGTTGGAATTTAGAGGGTTGATTTTAAAATGTTTTGTTTTTAACAAACTGTACAGCTATAATTTTTTAACTTTTTTTAGTTGGAAAACTTACTCATCATAAAATCTCAGATTTCTTCCATGTTTACTAATGGTTATTTGCTATATAGTTTGCTAGGTGTAGACAAATTATTCTCTTATGCAATTGCGGAATGGCTTAATGATATTAAGAAGAACCAGCTGCCAGGAATTCTGGGAGGTGTTGGGCCTATACATTCATTAGTACAATTAGGTGAGTTAAATTTTGTTTTATAAGGGTTTGGGAAATGGGTAATCATCTATCTAGAGTGACAGGATAGCTACTGAGATTTAGATAAATTAATGTCCTCAATGTATTCTAGTGCAAGGCCTGAAGGATTTGGTCTGGTTACCAATAGAGCAGTACCGAAAGGATGGCCGCATTGTAAGAGGATTTCAAAAAGGAGCAGCTTCATTTGGTACTTCAACAGCAATGGCTGCTTTAGAACTAACAAACAGAATGGTTCAAACTATACAGGTACTTTTTTTATGGCTATGAAACTATGGTTTTGACAAAGAAGCTTATTAAAATTTTTGTTAAAATGTTATTTTAAATAAAGCTGCTGTTTAAATTGCCTAGTTTAAGTGTGCGAAAGGTTAGGATTAGAAATTTATAATGATTTAGCCCTTGGTATATTTTAATCACCAACATTAACTTCACTCCAAAGATAGTGTTACCAACTTATAGAGTAAGGAACAAATAAATGGTCAAATATTTGCATGTTCAAATAAGTTTTAAAAAAGTAAGTTAGCAGAACTGGTAACATTTCTACCCATTTGAAAACAAAGATCAGAATCAAGTTCAAGAAAGTGTCCTGGAGTGAACACTTAGTTCTCTTGGGTTTTGGAGAGCCTGGCTGCAACTTTAAAATGCACAGACCACTCTGTTTATGGGTGACATCATAGGTACTATGACATTGTTGAGTATTTTTTTTTTTGACATTAGCAATTTGCATAAAACTAAGATCTGATTGCCTTTTTTTTTTTTTAAATAAAAGCTAGGTATATTTTTGAATAGTTAAAAACATCAAACTATAAACATTTTGAAGTTATTCTTTTAGGGAAGTTCTGATTTTTAGTAAAAAATGATAGGACTTATAAATTTGAATAAATGTATTCAAGTGTAGTTGGTTTAGTGGAATAGCAATGCTATAATATTTATAATAAGTAGGCCAAGAATCAAGTAAGAAAATGTTTGTGATCTAAGATTGTATTGAGAATTCTTTACTTATTTCCTGGTGCTAGGCAGCAGCAGAGACTGCTTATGACATGGTATCCCCTGGTACAATTTCAATTGACCCCAAAAAGATGAAAAGATTTTCTCATCATCGCTTAGCACATCAGCCAGTAGACCTGAGGGAAGGTGTGGCCAAAGCATATAGTGTCGTAAAGGAGGTAAGTGAACTCTGAGCCTACAGTAAGTCTAAGATCATTTTGAATAACTTCTTGTCTTTCATCTAAAATTCACTGTGTTTATTGGAAACAGTTTCAAAGAGACAAGATTGCATAATTTTGAGAGAGCACCATATATAGGAATGTCAGTTGCAAATGAGGGAAGGGTGCTAAATAATAAGTGATAAGAGGACTGTCTTTTGAAGCAAGAAGACTCATGCTAGTTTTGTGACCCTAGGCAGATCTCTTAGTGCCTCTGGTATCTTAAGATTTGTTGCAAATGAGTTGCTATCTACACTGGTGAAGGGACTTTCCACACTGGGAATTCTCCATAGTGTTTAAATCACTGGTTTAGATGACCAGTATAATCCCCTTCAAAAATGCAGAGAGAGAGGAGAAAATGAAAATAGCTGTAGATAAAGTATTGATATTGGATGGACTGCTGATGGTCTGTGAGGTGGTTCCTCAGCTATTCTTTCATGTTTTCAATACTTTGGGTATATCTGACTTCGTTGAAGTGAGTATTTTGTCTGCCAGCACAGATTACAAACCTAGTCACTTCAGAGTAGTCTTCATGAATTGCTATAGTTTTAAATCATCCATTTACTAACTAGCCTTCTAATGATTATGTGCTGTACACCAAGGTAGGCATATTCTCAGACAAAAGCTGTGGCCCCACCAAAGGGTTCTGTCCCCTACATTTTTTGCAGGCTGCCTGAAATCCTTTGGCATGACTGTGGATTGTAAGCGGCCCGCAGGATGTAGGTTGTACAGGCCTAATCTTTAGTATCACAATTATAAAAATATTATTTCTGATTGAATTAATCTCTGTAATTGGAGTTTCCATATTGGAGTCTTTTCAAAAGCAGTTTTATTCTGGGGTCATGAGAATTAGGTCTTTTGTCCTCAGTAGCTTTTGCTCCAGAAAAGTTTGAGTAGAATTTAAAGGCTACTTGGAAAAGATTAGGGGTTACTGAGAGATGGAAAAAGGCTAGTTTTTTATTTTAAAAAAATTTTTAAGGCACTGAGAGAACAGAAAGGTAGTAGAAATTGCTTAGAATTAATTCAGAGAGATAAAATCACATGACGAGTGTGGAGATTACAACTGAGCAAAAGCCAGGTTTTGGTCAGATTTTATCAATTACTTATAAAAAGTAAAAGGATTTTGAAAAGGTGCAAGCCAGGGTACAAGAGAATGGGTAAGGAAATGAGATAATGAATTTGAAAAGTGGAATGCAGATGAACAAGTAGCAGAAGTATCAATATGAGGAGAAATTCAGGGGATCCTAGATGGTTAGAAATGTAAAAGGAATCATATCAGACTGAATTTCAATTATATATTAATAACCTCAGAGGAAGAACTTTAATCAAATAAGAGTGACATATATTTGCTTTATGGTAATAATATTCCCTCTTAGATCTTAATAACTGAAGAGAACAGAAACAATTATTTATAGATGTTCCTTATGTTTTAGAATAGAATTTTGAAAACAAAATTCTTGGTGTTGGGGAAGCACTTTTTATATCTTAAGATTTTTCTTAGTTTTGATCACAGTTCATAATATTGGTTATTGCCATAGCTTTTGTTTTAAAATGTTTCTTTCAGTCTCCTAGCCATTTTTCTCCTTGTTGTATAATTTGTTGCTATATTGCTATATTGAGTAGAAATGAAGTCTTCATTGCTTTGCCCTAAATGGCTGAACCTTGGCTTGGGACAAGCATCACTAGATGATAGATACCTTCTTTTTTTGGGCTGCTACATGTCCTGTTACTAGTCTTATCTCATGTTGAAGGAGAAAAAAATCTTTTTGAAATCTTTTTGAGTCACTCTTTCCAAATTTTCTTACTGACTTGTCCTAAAATTCTCTCTGAGTTAGAAAAATTCTTGCTTTATAATTTCTTTTGTATGTTTTCATTTGACTCTCTCATCCAAGTACTGGGATATTTATTTGTAGGATTTAATATTTGATGGTCAAGCTACTTTTCATGGAGTTATAGTTACAAGGAAAAGAAAATGTGTTGTAGCAGTATTGTTTATATCATTAAACAGGTTCTTCCTTTCTCTGTTGATTTCATTGAATACGTTGACTTGTATTTTAAGTTATCTTTTAAAATTAAAAAGATTTTGTACAATTTCTTGTATTAAAAATTATCTTATTCTAAATGACTGCTTTATTTATAGTCTTTTGGAACATAAACTAATGAAGCAGTTATTTGAATTTTAGTGAATTTCATTTTCTTGTTAGTGTCAAATCAAAAGAGCTAGCATCAAGAATTTTTAAAAAGATTAAAAGTTACTTTTAGGTTATTAACTGTTTTTCTTTTCATGTTGCTTACCCCACTTAATCTTAATTGGTGCTGAGAAAACCCAGTGTCAGACAAAATGACATTACAGGGAGCAGCTAATTCCATAGGGATCATGATATGTTACAAATGGGCCATCAATCTATAGTGGTGTCCTAGCAGGGTTTCATAATTCTAATGGGTGTGTTTGGTTATAGTATAGATATAGATATAGTATAGGTATAGATATAGATGCTGTTGAAATTTGATAATGATCAAGACATATTTTTTGTACAGAAATTCTGTGATTTTAAATCATACTTCCCTTTTACTTTAAGTTAGAGTTTTAAAATGAAAAGTAATTGGTGGGTTGTCTCTGAAGCATAATTTATGTTTTCTAATTATGGGTGAAATTTTGGTTGAATAGACTAAAAATATGCATTACATTTTAAATTAGAGACTCCATAAAATTCAGGATTTTTTTTTTGTTGTTCTAGTAAAGTCTGTTCTTTTTTTCTTTCTTTATCAGGGTATCACAGACACTGCTCAAACTATCTATGAAACCGCTGCTAGAGAGCATGAAAACCGGGGAGTTACTGGAGCAGTAGGAGAAGTCCTTCGTCAGATTCCACCAGCTGTAGTTAAACCTCTGATTGTTGCAACAGAGGCAACATCAAATGTTTTAGGTGGAATGAGAAACCAAATTAGACCAGATGTTCGACAAGACGAATCACAAAAATGGCGCCAAGGGGAGGACTAATACTTCCAATGTGACTCTTTATGAAGATAATGAAAGTAGAAGTAAGGAATGTGATATCCCAGTGGCAGCTTTAGATGAAACTGATTTAAATTTACCGTGTTTATCTCAGGAGCAGAAGCTTTTCTTAGTTAAGCAATTTCATATCAAAACAACTTGTAGCCAAAACCTTTGAAGCATTTTAGGGCAAGTTTGATACTTGCCTTTAGAAATGGCTCTTACTCATTATGTGTGATGGCTAGTTCCACATGTCTTGGGTCATGTACTTGCTTTTCTTGAAACATAAACCATAGTTCTCTTATGATGGCTGAAGTGTTATTAGAAGCAGCCCTTTTACAACACATGGAATTCAGATGTCGTCTGAGCCCTTAAAGGTTACCTGTCAGTTGTTCTTCTTTGATGTGTAAAATCAAAAACATCACATGTTCAAAGCATCCGTTTTGGTTGTGAGTAATAGAAGCAAATGGGATTCTCATTAGAAATATGTGGAAGACTGACCTCTGTTGAAAAAGTGAATTTAATAGTTATATTTTTAAGAACAACCTGTGAATATATTAATGTAACATAGATGCATATATGACACATATGCATACACACACACCCTTGTTTCTGAGGGATTTTTGGGGGGGAAAATGATAATTTTCAGACATGTTCTATTGTGTTGCACTTTAAATAATTTATTCTGCAAAATGTATGGCTAAGTACAAGGTCGTGTGCATTATTCTTATGTGAGTTAAAAACTTAAAATTTTATAAAGATGAATGAGTGTGATGAAGAATTTGGCAAAAAATGTATATGTTTATTTAACTATAGATGGAATTTCTCATTTTGTGCCTGACAAAAAATCATATCTTTAGTTTTATGCAGATAGAGATTTTGAGCTTGCTAGGACTGTGTGAAGTGGGAGGTAAGGAAGGTTGTTATTTTTTGGCTTCTTTTGGGTGAACCAGTAGGTCATCCTCCTCCTCAAAATCTCATTAATTATTTCAAAGTAAAAAATTTAACAGGCTAACTGTAGTCACATTTGAATAAAATACGTTTATTTAAAAATAAAATTGTTTTATGTGCTCCTATATAATTTATAGTCTTTAGAATATGTTCAGAGAAATAAAACTTATTTATCCCAAGATTCTTAGAAAATCTTTCTCAGGACTTACTGGTTAATATCAAGTAAATCACTGTCCAGGCATAAAATAGAATTTGCTACCCAAAACAGTCTTCTTGGCTACACATGTGTCTGACATAAGCATAAAATAATAATTAAATGTCTGGCCACCATTTAAATTTGTAATATGCTATTTCAAATTCTGTTATTAGGAATTTCAGAATATTTTTAAGTCATAGGCTAGAAAATTAGGTTGGTTTTCCAGTTAAGAAATATCAGTGTAAACAGAGGTCCAAATCACTTTGAGATATTAAAAAAATGAATTTTGAATCTTCACTTGTTTTTTCTCTCTCTCTAGAAATTTTAAAAGAGGGAATCTCAGAATTTTTCCATCGATTTGTGCATCATTAGCATAGTTTACACCAATTAACTGCACAAGCACAGCACAAATTTTGCCAAATCTGACACCTATTAAACTATGTAGTTATTATAGCATTTTGTTATTATTAAGATTTAAAATTTTTTAGGAGAAATCCAGACATGCTGCATATAAAAACCCCAGAATAGGTCATCCTTTTAAAGTGGAATATCAACTAACTATATATCAGGTTAGTGTTTTATCAATTATGAACTCAGTAAAAAATGGAAGTGTGTTACTGTACAACTACGACATTTAGTTTCCATTCTTTTACTTGTCTCTAGTCTTTCTGTGGTCACACTATGCAAATACATAGTCCAGAGGAATAAAGGTCCACCTCTAACATGAATTCTTAAGTAGCTAACAAAAATCTTTCAGAAATTACTGTCATAAATTCTGCTTTAACAAGTAGTTGTATAATCTCCGGTTGTATAGAACAGTATTTGCACATCTAGGCCAACAGTCCATACTAACACATCAGAGCAAAGGAGTGGATAGAATTTGTAAGTTAGTTTAAATGAAATGTACCTTTGCTAAAAGTGTGTATATGTACAGTAACTATATTTGAATATTTGTATAATGTTAAGCATCTTTGAATAAAACTAAGTGTTCTTCCAAATGTATTGATGTGTTTGGAATTTTAAGTAATTTTTCTATTTTTGGGTAGAGTTCTTCCCAGCTTTAGGTGCTTAAGCTGATAAAATCTTAGTGCTTTGATCTTTTGGAAAAGTGCTGGGTATTGCTTGGTAAGGCATTCAGATCTTTTAAATGCTTCTAGTAACTTGAATTTATTTTTTGACTTACAGTGTTTCTTGCTTAATTTAACATAACTATGGTAATTTGCAGAGTAATTTACATCTCTTCTCAAATCAGATAATGTGGATAAAATGCTTTATAAATATGCTTTATTAAGAATATTTCACATTGCACTTAAATACAGTTATTTTATGGGAGAAAAAAAGGAGAAAGAAGTGTTCACCTTCTTGGATGCTACTGTTGTGGACTAACAAATTATCCCTTTTCACATTAAATCCTGTTCCTATTCTCTCCATAATTATAATCACTTACAAATACATTGAATGCTGAACATGTGCTTTATATGTGAAAGTTTAAAAAAAAAGTTTGCCTTTAGCTTTGGGTTTCCAGTTTAATGAAATGGTGTTTGAAATATTTTTGCGTTCCTTCAAGCTTATTTTTCAGATAATGAAATTAGTAAAAATCTAGGGTTCTTTTTTCCCCCATTCTGAAAATGTGGGTAGCTGCAGGTTAAAACTGGAAAAAAGAAAAGCAAGAAACACTTTTTTTATTTTAAAAAAAAAGACATTAAAAATTGAAACATTTCTCATTTTTCTAAATTAAAGTTCTGAACATAGACTTCATTTCTCTATTTTCTGAATTTTAGTTCCTGTGTTCCATTCACAGACATACAATGTATCTGGCCAATTTTTTGATCATGTGAGGGCTGATTTTGTGCAGACCCTTTATGTCTCCTTCCCCCTGCTATCTGCTTTTTGGCCAGTAGAGTGCTTATTTGGGCTCTGTCCAAGAATGTGGAACAATAATAGTGAGAACAGGTATATAATTTAAATTAATGATTTAAAAAAAAATGTTGTTCAGCTCTTGGGAGAAGTTTGATAGGTAGAAGACTTTGAACTAATGACTAAAATGAAGGTTGAGATTGCCTTTTAAAAAAGTTATTACCACAGATAATTGTTTCTATAAAGTCATAAGAGGCAGGATGTGGGGCATTGGACTAGTTGTCAGGAGACCTAAGTTGTAGTCCTGGCACTACTACTGCTTCAGTGTGTGACCTTGGACAAGTCATTTCCTAGTTGTGGCCTAAATTTTCTCATTTGTAAAATGAAGGGGTTGGACCAAGATCATCTCCATGGTCCCTTGCAGCCCTAAGACACTAACTGCATTCCCATTTAAAAAATGACTACTACTACTTAGAAAAAAACATTTAAAAATATATTCATCAATCTTAACAATATGTTTATAGTGACATGTATATACTATATTTTAAAAAGTTATATAATATTCTAGATCAGGGCTTCTTAAACTTTCTTAAACACCTCAAATTTAACTTTGTGACGTGAAGTGAACTGATTAGCTTCTTAGCTTCACTTTTCTTAGCCCTGAATTACTATGATTGTCATAGGACCTTTCTGCAGTGGGCTGAGACAAGCATGACGTTTAGGTAGGGATTTTATTCTCTATTCCTCCCTCTGCTCCCCTTCTTTAATCATTAAAAGTTCCTTAAATTAGGGGGAATGTTCATGAAGTTCTTTCAGTTCCTTGGATGTAAAGCATTGTATAAACACAAGGTGGTATCATTATTATATGTATATAATCATGTGTATGTATATATGTTATTTAAACATGCTGTCACACATTAGAATTTCATGATCTGTCCTTAAGTATATTAAATGCAAATGTAAGTTTAGTTTATACTTCTTAGGATGCTATCAAGTTCTATATTTGTATAGTATGTGTAAATAATGGTATAAAATTTATAAATGTCCTCATTTGCCATCTCCAATTGTCTTACAGTTTATTATAGGGTGCACTGTTACTCCTGTTTATGGAACTTGTTCATCAAAAGAGTTTTAATCCCATTTGTTTTTCAGTATCATCTTAGCCAATTTAACAATCATTTATTAATTAAATACTATGTAGAAGACAGTCTACACATTCTAACAGAGGGTTATATTGTGTAGTTGAAAATGAGTCAGCCAGCCTGCTTTGGTTTTATTACAGGCAGCCTTTTTTTTTTTTTTTTTTTTGGTCAGTCATTAGTGAATCAAAGGTAGAAACATTTTAATACACGATACTGATAATGCAGTTATTTAGCTTAAAAACTTGAGTGTTTCAACATTTCATGCACTTATATATTGATATTTTTCTCTTTTAAAAAAACCCTTTTTGCTTTAGTATTACAATTTGACTTTTTTTTAACTTTTAAAGAGTTAGGTGTTTTTTGTTTGTTTGTTTGTTTTTACAAAAAATATCTAGTATACATTGAGCACCAGCACTCCATTTTGAAGGGTCAGGAACTTAGGAGATCTTAAGTGATCGTAGCTTCATCCTTAGTGCACCAGATTGATTCAGATTCCTAAAAAACAGCTTTTTTAGTACTTTGATCTTTCAAATGTATTTTTGTATAAAAGAATAATTTCTGATAGCTGGTTACATTATTTGTGTATTATTTGTGAAAACTGCAGGTCACATAACAATATCTACCTTTTCTATGTTAAGGAACTGGGGAGCGTGGCCATAAATTGCCTAGCATTCCTAATGGAAGCTTTATACAAACATTTTGATTTGTTACAAATGCTAAAGTTGAATTACCATGAATAAAAGATTATAAAGTTTACAAGTATTTATTATTGTCAGATTGTCCTAATAAACTGTAATTGTTTATGTGAGTATTTTAAAAAATGCCCATGCTGTGTGATTAATGTGGGAATGGAGTGTGATCATGTGATTAAAGTATTTTTATGGATTGAAGTCTCTTAGAGGAAGTTGATTTTTTCTTTTGTGATGAAGGGGCTTTCAGATCATAGGACCCGGAGATTTTTTAGAGCTAGAAGGGTTGTTAGAGGCCATCAAGTCCTTGCCTCATTTGTGACTTGTCTAAGATCGTATAGCTGTAAGTATGTGAATCAGGATTTGTACTCAGGCCTTCCTAACTCCAAACAAGCCTAGTGCTCTATCCACTTCACTACCTAGTTATAATGAATAACTACACTACATTCTTGACATAATGCTTTATTTGAACATATGTGGAAATGTGAATTGAGATTCATAGAAAGGTAAATCTGAGAGAGACCTTATGTTCTAAGAGACAGAATGTTCAAACATTAACTGTTGCATTGTAAAGGACCTTAGTCATACAATGTAGAGCATCCTAATAGGCTTTAGCAATCATCTAGTCCAATCCCCAAAATAGGCTGGGAGAGGTAAGCTATTAATCTTATTATTTCATTACTCTTTCATTATTACTCTTGACTGTTCAGTTCTCTCTTGAAAATTCACTGTGACAAGGAACCTGATCCTGGGTTTGGGAAGGTTATGCCAGTGGAGCACAAGCTGTGGCATGGCCAAGCTGGAAAGACTTTTAAATCCATGCATAGGCTGAACGAACAGTTGTGTGCCTATTATGCAAGAAAACAGGTTAGCTAAGCTTGGTGAGGCTTGTTACCAATGAGACAAATGAAAATCCCAAAAGACAGAGTCAATTTTAGCTTGATAATTAATAAATTGATGGTCAGTGATATCAGTAACCAAAGACAAAACCATGGCGATCACTCAATGTTTAAATACCTTTGGAAAAGGGAGTGCCCCTGACAAGTGAAAATCAGCCCCTATTGGTGAACAATTAAAAGGGGTAGACCTTGAAATGAGAAGGTGGATGAAAACCTTCAGGTCCTGTTGCTGAGAACAGGGCTTGGTCATGAGACTTCAGCCATCTGCGGCAGTCTGGACAAAGGACTCCATTTCTACCCTGACCATGCTGGTTGGTTTTCTCCTTTATGAGCTGGGTTGCACCTAAACTCTAATGAAGGGGTGCAAGGCCATAGTTTAATGTTTTGGAGCCAGAATTCACCTAGATTAGATTCTGTTTATACTCTAAATAGAAGCAATGTCTCCTGGTTGGGTGGGGTCCCACCCAAGTTCAAGGGACATGTTACCATAGGATTTGGGCAATCTCATCTATCATCCATGTCCTTCAGAGAACTGACTGATTTATAGGGGCTGGTCCCTGAATGAGGAAATAGAAAAAGCCTTAATTCTTTTTTAATAATTAGTTAATGTAATGGAAAATAATACTTTCACCAGAGAGTTAGTCAGCAGATGATGAAATTTTTAATCACAACTACTCTTAAAGACCATCTCTGGCATAGATGATGACACAGAGAAATTAGAAATAAAAAAAAAAACACCAAGGAAATCACAGATCCTTCAGAAATTGAATTGTGTTGCCAGGTTATAGGCAGGTAACATTAACTCGCCAAAGAACTTCGGGCAAATTAATCTGGAGATCTGATCCATGAAATAGTGTAAAGGAAGGCCAGGTATCTTCCTCCTACTTAAAGGGAAAATGAGAGTGGTCTCTTAATAGGTATATAGACAAGCCAAGAATCTTTCTCTTGTGGACACCCATGGAACTGCAACATGTTAACATATTAAGTGCTTGCTATGTGTCAGGCACTGTGCTAAGTGTTGGGGTTACAAGAAGCTCATAGTCTGATGGAGACAACATGCAAACAAATATATACAGGATAAATTGGAGATAATCTCAGAAGGCATAAGATTAAAGAGGAGTAGGAAAGTCTGGCAGAAAATGAGACTTTAGTTGAAACTTATTAGAAACCAGGGAAGCCAGGAGGCAGAGAAGAGGAGGGAGAAAATTCCAGGCATAGGGGACATACAGTGAAGATGCCTGGAAATGTGAGATTGAATAGTAAGGAATGGAAATAAGGAAGTAATGTGAGTTCGAGAGGAATAGTAAGGTCAGTGTCACTAGATCAAAGAGTATGTTGAGGAGATGGGAGTGGTAAAGTGAAAGAAGATTGGAAAAGTTTGGGAGTAGAGGTCGGGGTAGGTTAAGATTTT